TCAAATATAACTATGGTTTATCACTGGTGTAGCTTGAAATTGTCATGTTTTGAAATTTGCCTTTTTAGGACAAATTCAAAGTAATTAATTAGTTCTGCCATGTAGAATCTTGTAGAAAAATGTACAGTTTAAATTTACATGGATGGAGAGAGGTCCTTATTGAAAGAATTATTTTCCATTAAAATTGCCCATGCTCTTTTTGATAATGATGATCATATTCTTCCTTATTGTTGATATAAAAATAATAGCATAGAAAGATGACTAGTTAAATTCTAGGAGAATGATCAATACAAATATAAGTTTCTCTCCAACTATCCAAGTTTTAATTAATTGAACTGTACTGAAGAATTTGTGACTTCTAGAAAATGAGAGGGGAAAAAATACTGCAGCTGAACACTGAGGGGAGGGTAATAAGGGAGTTACTTAAAGCTTTTTTAGAAATTAAAAGATTGTTTATAGAATTCTGTGATTCCAGAAGTAATTCTAAATAGATACCTGCCATAGTTGTAACACGTGGACATGTTCTAAAGAAGGATTTTGCAGTACTAGTCTTACCCTTATGTTTCCAGCTATATATGACTCACAAAGATTTTAGAAACTTAGAGCTGCTGACTTTCAGAGTTCATGAATGCAGTGGGTTTTATCCTGGAATTGCAGAATCATTAGCATAAATTATTATCAGAATTTAAAAAAATCATAGAACAGCTGAAACAGTTTCAGGACAGGCACCTGTTGCTGTAGTCAGTAGTGTAATATGCCTTATTTGGTCAGGGAAATTGATCTGGTAGGTACAGAAGAATACTTTGTTTCATTAACCTGTCATTGAGTGCCACACTTTGTGGTGGCCTCTTACTGGACTTGGCACTATAGATTACCTGTTTTTAAAAAAATGTCTGAGATTAAACTGAGCTTTCTAAGCAGCTGGTTTTTAGTTTCTGCTCAATAATACAAGGAAAGAATAAACTTAATCTAGCTGTAGCTGTTCTGTCGCTCTTGCCTTACCTGTTGCCAGGCAATAATCCTCAAAAAATGTAAAAATGCTGCCTTGAAGTAGGAGAGGTGGGAAGTCTAATGGTGTAAAAAAAGTCTTAAGATGTTAGGAAATGCTTGATGTGTTTGGAATGATAGAATAGAGGAGGATGTTGCAGCCTTGGTTTGGTAGCTGTCCTTGTTTTGAACTATTCCATATACCTTGTTTACCAGTTTGAAAGAAGGAATATTTGTCATGTAATTGGTATGGTCCTGGCACTCAAAAGGCAGGTGCTGCTTTCTGTGAGTATTTATCATGTAATTGGTATGGTCCTGGCACTCAAAAGGCAGGTGCTGCTCTCTGTGAGTTAACTTTGTGCTGGAAGAAGTGTGTATCAGGGAAGAGTTAGGCAGAATAGTTATTTGTCCGGCCTGCGTGTTCACTTTCACTGTGTGGCCTTACGGAGAACTGGGGCAAACAGCTTGCTGAGGCTAAGCAGCTGTCTTACCCCACATAGCTGTGCTGTGAAAACTGAAATGGATGTGGTGGCACAACGGCAGTGTAAGCTCCTCTATGCTTAAAGAAGTGCTTGTCAAGTGTCTATAAACTGTGGACAAGGAGGGATGTCAACGTAGCTTTACAAGTAGGATTTGGCTGTTCTTTTGACTGTTTTACAGCTGGACTTAAATAGTGGAAAACTAAGAAGTAACCAGTATACAGAGAGATTAGGGGCATGGTAGGACTCTCTAGCCTCAAAGATTCAATTGGAATCCTCTAAGACATTATCTAGGGCACACTACCCTATTGTGTGGAGTTTTTCAGCACTAAAGGCCTTGCAAACCCAGAGCAGCTGTAGCAGATCTTTGTCACTACATTAAATGCTTCATGTTACAAAGTATTTTAAAAATCTCTCTTTCACTTCTATGTGGGAAAGAAAGATTGAACAAATGGTCTTTACAGACTGAAGTTTTGTAATTTCTTTGTGTATTCTATATGAATACGCATATGTTTTCAGAGTTGTGAAAACACTGAAGAAGTAAATGTCTTTTCATTAGTCCAGATTATCTCAAACATACACACTTTTTACTTCAACTTGCACAAGTGCCATGGTGTCAGTTTATCTTTGCAATTTTTTAAAACGTTTTTGCATTTTGTTTATTTTTGCTTTAAGTCAGTATGTGAGAAGGCTTATCATTTATAAGCTGGCTAAATAAGGAGATGATGAAAAGCATCTTTTTAGTATTCTTATACTTGAGAAATACCTTGGTTAGCCACCTGCAAAACCAGTGGAATTCTTAGCAGTTTTCATATACTACATCTTTCTAAGGGGCATGCTATAGTTAATAAATGTGCTGTAATTGTTTGGGTTGGTATATAACTTAGTATTGATGCTAAAAGTTAAAAATTGGAGTAATGTTTCAGTGGAGCATTCAGACAATAACAAAAAGTATAGCCAAAATAATCAGGTAAGATTCTAAATTCTTCTGTAAGAAACTAAGTTTTGTATTCAGGACTCTAGAGTTAGCAAGCCTAGGCCAGGCCAATTATTCTACAGTGTATTGATTTAATGTTTAATTGTTTGGGTTTTTTTTAATGCAAACATAGTTACAAATATGTACATTTAAAAATATTCCTTGCATCAGTTTGAAGATACGAAGACAGTTATATATTTGAAATTTTGATGGTTCCCTGTATTATAAGAAGCCCAAAGCTTTGTTGATCTTTTATAAAACAAGGTGATGCTTAGGTGCTTAGGTGATGAGCTTGGGGTTTAAAGAGTTCCTTTGTGTTTTGGCTGCTGTTGTGGGTTAATGGTTGTCAGTGTAACAGCAAAATTTAGGGAACTGTCTTAGGATTTAGTGATTGAATGATCAGTTTTAAGTACAGGCACATATAATGGATGAAGTTTGTAATTTTGTAGTTTTCAATGTTTCAATAATTTTTCTCCTGTTGAAACTGGTTTAGTCCACCATCCTGGAGCAGCAGTTGATTGTGTGCTGCAGTGAGCTACAGCTTCAGTTTTATGGATCCAGGCCATTCAAACAGAGATTGTAAAACAGGTCACTGCAGCCATCTGCATTATGTTTCTTTTTATGTGTGTTAAAAATGGAAGAGGTTGGGAAATATTTTCCTCTGAAAATGTCTGAAGTGTTTTTTTTTAAAAACCAGTGTATATAAAATTATGTATGAAACTGTAAGAATATATGTTGGACATACAATACAGCACATTTTTCACAGCCTTCTGGAAATATGCAGAGGTTTCTTCTGTTGAATAAATGCTATATTAAAAACCAAATTAAAGCGTCCACAACAGGAGTTGTGTCAGTTGCAGCTTTTCCTCCTGCCCTCTAGTACATAAAAGGAAGGTTTGGTGTAACAAAGGACCATCATTAATACTTTCTACTACTTCCTACTGCACTTACAGCTTTTGTTTAATTAATATGATAGGCATTTTACAATTGAAATATGCTCATTAGGTGCAATACCTGAGTGCTGGTATACTTATTGTAGTGCTAATAGGTGAAAACTAATATCACTATTGCATGTTAATTACATTCTAGTATCTGACAAGTACAGTGTGATATGCATGACATCTAGTAACCATTTAATTGACATTTCTTTAAAATATAAGGTTTATATTTTTTAGTTCTCTTAATGTAAAAATATTTTGCTATTTGTCACAATTAGATGTTGTATTTAAATATACTGTTAAGATGCAGTTTCATGGTTAAAAATAAGTCTCTGCTGTTGCTGGAGAGGAGTGAACACACTCATGTTTTCTTCGATCCATACTATCACCTGTGATCCTTCACCAGCAGCTAAATTTGGCCGAAAGGTTTTTAAGCACCCTAGCCTAGTCACAGTATTCTGTTGTGAATAACTTTCCCACACTAGGGAAGCAGCAGGAACACATGATTAACAAGAATGAGCAAAACCTAATTGCTCCTTTTAGCACAAACCCCATATAAGACAGTAGTCTGAGCAGTGTTTTTACAGCCGATGCCAGCCAACATGATGGCTTATCCTTACCTCTTTCTTTGCAGTGGATCCTGCCACTTCTCAATGTCTCTTTCAGCTGAATAACTGACCTAGCTCAGCTTAGAATGCTGGTAGGCTGGAGAATTGATTAATCTCATAGGAATCTCTTGGGCACTGGACTTGATGCAAGATAAGCAGTTCATGCACGTGTGGGAATACTGCACCAAGGACAATGGGAAGTGATGATAAGCTGTTTCAATTAATTTGTTCCATGTTGCAGAATCATTCCCTTGCTCTTTATGTTTCATTAAAATGCTTTCATGGAAGAGAGTGCTGAAAGTTTCAGGAAATGTAACTGCCTTCCAGAGGTGTTGTGGTACCTTGTTTTTGGCATTTTGAATCTGATGCTTGGCCAGGATATTGCAGCAGTGTTAATGAGTAAATGGGTGTAACTGGAGCTAGATGCTGATTTTAGAATGAAAGACCTGTAGTACTCAAACTCTTTTTTGTCAGTAGTTAGAGCCTCAAGTTGTTAACATTCTTTAAGCAAATACTTTGATCTTTGTCCTAAGAATTTGATGATAAGTCATATTTTAAAAAAATGTACTGAAACCATTTTTTTTTAATGTGCCATGGTTGTGTTTAAATATGTCACAAATTAGTTTTGCTCAAGATATCCTGTGTCCTGTTGCAAATGCAGACTTTACCTGTGTGGCTGTGCATTTGTGGAAGTAATGTTGTATTGCAGACACAATGCCTACAGCAAGCTAATTTCTTAAGCATTTGTTATTCTTGGTATTTTAAAAAGTGAACTGTAGTGGGATAGATTTAAATATGAAGTATAACACAGCTAAATTTGCTGATTTATTGAGACATGGGGAAAAAGGTTGTTGACATTTTTTTCCTGAAAAATAAATACCTGGCAGTTGTGGATATTGTATATAGGAAGCAGGTGTTCTTGGGAAGAATAAATAAAGGGAGTTGTTGTACTTTTATATTGAGCTTTCTCTGTAACAGCTTTTACTAGTAATCTTGTCTTTTATTTCTTTAGTGTGGTCCTGACAAGCTGCTTGTGGTGTCAGTTACAGACTTTCTACCATGAGCAATTCTACTCCAGCTACAGGTATACATTAAAAAAAAAAAAAATCAAAGTTCTTCAACTGTTCTTTATCTGTGTAATTTTTTTCCCTTTGTTTTGTGTGTGTGTTGAGGAAGATGTAGTAAGTGTATTTCTGTAGTTTTAGATCAGACAGGAAGTTGAAAGTAAGAGAAAGCTGGTATTGCTTTTGTTAATATTACTTCTAGCATTAGGTGTACATGGAGTGTTAATGACTGATGGTTGCGTGAAGTAACTGCATCAAATAAATTAACTAAATTATGACATACACAATTGCCTGTCAGCAGAGGTTTCCAAATAGTTTATTTTATGTCAGGGCAAAGGACAGAGCAGATCACCTTTTGGTAAGTGTCTAAGACTTACTATATTTTTGGTTGGTGGGGAAGAAGGAGGAGTCTGAGGAGCTAACTTGAAGATTTTTCTTTTTGATTTATTTGACTTACAAGTGTCAGGTTGTTTATACTTCTGCTGATCAATTCAATGTGATGTCCAAATGTTTCTGCTTGGCTTGAAATAGCTTATAGCTCAGCAATGTAATAGCTGTAATATATATTATTAATTAACAGTGCAATGACTGATCCAAGATGTCTAAATGATATAGAGGTTTTTGGGATATATTAGTAGGCATTCTCATTAATAATCATATAAATCTAAAATGAAATATGATCACTTGTGAAATTCATCTTTTTACCCAATACAGCTGCTCCAGCTGCAGGACTTGTTTTTTGTTGTTATGTTTGGGGTTTTGGGGTTTTTTTTGGTCTCATGGGTCACATATCTAAAATGTATACCTCTCTACCTCAGGCTACTCAGGGAATACATTTGTACCAGCCATGAATTGTGATGGTACTGAACTTCCCTTTGTACATCATGAACCAGTTTTCACTTTGTCCATAAGGCTTCTTTTAGTCTGTCTGAAAGCATTTTTTACTTTCACTCAATTGAGAGTACAATTCAGAAAGGTGATCACCTTTGGCATGCTTTAAAGAAATGTTGAATCAATTTTGAAATTTAGATGTTGGAAGATACAGATGGTTATTACTCTGCATCAAAATAGGTATCAAACCACAGCTGGAGAAAGAAGCAAGGTTTAAAAAACAATGAGGTTTTATATTTGAGATATGCTAGCTTCTATTGCCAATTTAGTAACTTAGCTGAAGTTTCTCAAGAAAAGAAGCATGTCAATAGTTTGCCACTTAGCTCCATTTTGTCACCAGAAGATACTGCTTCTCTCTTATAAAACTAAAGGCAAAATTCCTATTAGGCTTCATTTCCTGCTTTCTTTGGTCAAGCATTCCTTGACTTAATGTTAAGTCAGTGATATCTTGTCCATTTTGATCCGAAAAGTAATAAAATAGGTTGTTAGAGTTTACTAGTAATATGTCCTGTTGTGATTGGGTACCAATATGTGTTTAATGTGGTCGCATTTGTCTCAAAGTTCACATTTTTCTGAATGCATACAGAGCACATGAAACTGTTTAAAATTTCTTGATGGAAAAATCAATGCATAACAGACTTTTCAGTTTTGGAGGTGGGAGAATTGTTAAGTATGGTATATTTGGAGCTTTGATCATCCAACTTGAAATTTTACAGGTTTCCAGTAATAAAATGACCCTCTGTAAACATTCTTATGAAGAATGACTTGTGTGAACCAGTTCTCAGCCTTAGACTGTATGCAAAACTTACAGCAAAATCTGAAATTTCTTAAAAAGCTCATACAGAAATTTCTTCCCAATCTTTTGTGTTTCTCCTTGGAAGGCTAAATACAACAGATTAGTTATTAAGGTTATTTCTCTTGCCTCCTTTGCAACTGCTTCTAGAACAATATGCTTGTTCCAGATATGGTGTTCTGCTTTAAAGTGCTCTCAAGGATAGTGAGTAATGTTCTTGAAATGTAGTCATTGGTCACTTACCAATCCAAATCAGTCCCTTACAGGATCCAAATAGGCATATGTTTAAAAAAGCCTAACTTCTGGCAGTATGTCAAAGTAGAAGATATAAGTTTGTATGGATTTCATGCTGTCTACCTTTTTCAAAGACTTCTTAAAATTAAAAATAATTTGGATCAGCAGGCTTTCTTTAATAAAGCAAAAAACCCAAAATCTTGAGTTAGCAATTCAGTCACAGAAAGATAAGTTGGTGATAAAAGGAAAATTAATGTATTAGCTCCCAATTGGGACTTTCCCCTCTTTTGTGCAACTAACATTTTTTAAATATCTTATGTAGGCATTTGGGGAGAAGTTACTGACCTCCCATTAAAAAAACCAAAACAGCAGCAAATCAAAACCAAATCTTCAGAAAATAAACAAGTCCAAAACAAAGCCAGACATACCCCACTCTCCTCTTGCTATCAAGATTTGCAATAGCTGATTATATGTTCTTACACTGTCCTTTTGTATGATATGAAAAATCCTTTCTTAGAGTTCTAAGAACTAAGTACCTAAGTTAATGTCAGTGCGGAGTCAGCAGTTTCTCTCCTTTAGGCTTTGATATGTACACTGTGCAATGGATTTGTCTTGTTTACTTCTCTGTCTCCCTCCTTAAAATATTTTAGATCATGAGAAGAAAAAAAGTAAAGGAAAAAGACTGCCATGTTCCCCTTCACGTGTCCTTCACATTCGTCAAATTCCAGATGATGTTACTGGAGCAGAAGTTGTTTCATTAGGTCTCCCCTTTGGCAAAGTAACCAATCTCTTGATGCTAAGAGGGAAAGGTCAGGTATGTAGTTTTCAATGTTTCAATAACAAGAGCAAGACTGAAGATGTGGTTCATGTTATGACAATTTTGATCTTGACCTTGAGTGAAATTATTGCAATGAAATGTCTAAATATTTAATTGATAGCGGAAGATTTTCATATTTTTAAATGCAAAAGGATATTTTGAAATTTATTTCAAGTTTTTAATATGCTTTTGGATTACGTAATGAACTAGAAATTCTTTAATAATATTGCTAGACATTATATCCACTTTATGTGAGACTATATAGATGATAAAGAACTACATTGTCACTGTTGATGACATATGTCTTCAAAGAGCCTGCCTGTTTAAGTTACTGACATGCATGTAATTTTTTGACATCTGTTTAATCCTGTTGGATGTGGCAGAGTAGTTTGTGTCAGGAAGAAACACAGAAATCCTAAAAATAGTAAGCATTCATTCAAAAAATTGTCTGGAGCACTGAGCTGAATTAATACAATGCATAAGCTAATGAATGTTTTAATGTTCTGTTACAGCTTTTTCAGTCTATGCATTTTAACTACCTAAGTAATAGTGCTTGATTTCAGGAATTTAACAAATTGATTAGCAATGTAGTGCTTTTAGCAGCTTTGCTTCCCATATATCATACTTATTCCATCTCTTCTTAAATGACATAGCGTACTTACAATGTAAGACTTTCTAAGAAAACCCACAAATTGAATAAAAATTAAAAATGCACACACAAATGCATTCTAATACTGAGTAAATCAGTATTGTACTTTCACATAATCTTTTTCTAGTGAGAGTGGAATTGAGAAAAAATGATGCCTTTTCTCTCCTGTAAACAAAAACAGCATTGAAATCAGCTATGTATTGGTTGCAGGCATTTTTGGAAATGGCTTCCATAGATGCTGCTGTTTCTATGGTGAACTACTATGCTCCTGCTACGCCTCACCTCCACCATCAGCCAGTTTATATTCAGTATTCCAAATACAAAGAACTTAGGACTGACAATCAACATAATCAGGCTGTAAGTACAATATTTCCATTTAACAGGATATAATTGCAGGAGTTGTGAATGCATGTGTTAACACAGAAAGTATTAAGGTGTTTTCTGCTTCTCACATTGCCCTGCAAGTGATAGTGCACAAGAAGATGGAAAGGGTCTCAACTGGGACAGTTGATTCCAGCTGACCCAAGGAATGTCTACCCTGTATGATGTTGGGCTCAGCACAGAAAGCTGGGGGAAGGATGACAAAGGAGGGATGTTCATTACTTTTTCTTTCCAAGTAGTTGTTACTCTCAATGAAATGCCTGCTTTCTTGGAAATGTTTAAACACCTCTCTGCCATTGGGAGAGGTGTTTAAACACTCTGTTTTGCCTTACTTCCACATGCAGCTATTGCTTTGCCTGTTCAACTGTCTGTAAACGAACCCATGAGTTTTCTCACTTCCACACTTCCATTCCCTCTCCCATTATGCTAAGGGAAAATGACTGAGCCATTGTGTGGCACTTTGCTGCATATGAGGGTTAAACCACAACAGTAGTAGTAGTAAATAAACAGGCTGCTCTTCACTATATCAGTAGACGAGTTCTAATATATATTATATAATTTCAGTAACTTCTTACAGACAGGATCTTCTCAAAATCTATAAAATTATTGTGAAGGAGCTCAAGTTCAAAAGTAGTTCATCATAATGACCATGAAATGAAGGAAAAGTGGCAGGAGGACTGCTTCTATGAAAAAGGAGCTCCTGATTGGGCTTAAACATAAAACAGAGGCATAGGAAAGTTGGAATCATGAACGGGTACCTCAGGAGGATTATCGAGCATTGTTTAAACATGCAGGGATATGGTTAGGAAAGTCAAAGGCCACATGGTGTTGTCTCTGATGAGAGTTGTGAAAAGCAGCAAGTTTGGTTCCTTGAGGTTTATCAACTGTAGAAATAAGATTTCTTTTTTCTAAAAAAATATGTAGGTTTGCTGCTGAATAAGGCAGGGCCAAAAGAGATCGAAAACGCTGAATTACTGAGAGCCTTCTTGGCAGTGTGGTGGAAAGACTTGCCTTGGTATTACCAAGCATATGAGAACAGTGGAAAAGTCTTGATGAAGGAAGTAGAGAAGAATCACACTACAGAACATTTAAACTAATTTGATAAACAAAAAGTTTATGGCCCTAGTGAGATACACTTTTGAATGCTGAGGAAGTGGATTGATGTCATTGCAAGACCAGTGTACAATCTTGAAAATGTTATGGCAGTTGGAAAAAAGTTACTGAGGACTAGAAAAGAAAAAGTCCTTCCATCTCCTATCTTAGGGCAGGACAACCTAGAAGATGAAAAGAAAGGTCTGGGGATCCGCTGCTTGATCAACCTGACTTTGGTCCCTGGATAAGGAATGGAGCAACTCATTCTGGAAACTATATCCAAACATTCTAAGGAGAAGAAAGTGGTTAGTCATAAAAAAGCATAGGTTTTTAAAAGGATGTTATGCCTGACCAATGTGATGGCCTTTTATGGTGAGATGTCTGGATTGGTGGACGAGGCAAGAGGATATTGTTTATCTTTGGCAAGACTTTCGGTTTTGTTCCAAGTGATTAATGCAGTCTAGTTAAGTGAACTGTGAAGTGATGTGAAAGGCTAAAATGGTTGTGACCAATGACGTAAGGCTGGGGTCCAGTCACTGGCAGAGTACCCTAGGGGTTAATACTGGATTTTGGATTCCTGGATGAATTTCAATTGACTTCCCATTTAGATACATAAGTTATATACTGTGATGTGTATATCATGTTTTTTTTTTTTTCTCTGTAAGAATGTTGACAGTAGTGATTTGGGCATAAATCATCCATTTGTGCTGGCACAAAAGTCACACAAGTCTTGAAAGCTTTTCAATCTGGTAAATACTATTTGTCTCTTTCCTCATCTAAGATTGCTGTATTGGTTTGTTATCTGCAAAAACAAATGACAAGAATTTTGTTTTAAGGATGTGGCTTGCACAACAGCCTCAGGAAAACTATTATGTATATTTGCAAATAAGATTCCTTGGGTCTCTAAGTATTTTCAACTTGATACATAGCACTTGCTTCCTTCTGTAACAACATTGTCCACTTTCAAAAATAAGCAGTTTGGCACTTATATTTGAGTTTTATCTAAATTTTAAAGAGACCCTAGTAGAGCAGCTGAATACTGTTACTATCCTAGTCCCTAGGATGAGCCCTGAAGTACATATTATTTTGCAGGGTTATGTTTTTCTGAAACTAGGTAACATGTACCATGTGCCCTGTTTAATCTATCTTCCAAAGAAATAGTGTAGCTGAGACATGATTTTAAGCCACAATACTACATGTCTTCATAGTCTTGCTACTCACAGGAGGTATGAAGACCTCTTCGGGGAAAATCAATGAAAACAAGTGAAGAGACTTGTGTAATCACAGAAGTCTAGTTTAAGGAGTGAGATTTGAACCTATTTTTTGTGGTTAAGGGCTTTGTTCTGAAAGAAGAGTAAGGTGTACAGATTTAAGCTTATCCCAACCAAATCTTAGTTCCTGATTAGAATTAAATCCTAGTAAAGCAGAGCAGATAGTTTTTGGTATGCTGACTGGTTGTTTGTATGCACAATATTACAATATTACCATCTATAGTACTGCTGGAAAAACATCTAGAATGACAATAGCTTACTGAATCAAAGAAAAATAGTTACAAAGTAGTAGCAGTTTAACAAAAAATTAGTTGTAATTCTGTGAATTACACTGACTAGTTGTAAGGAAGGAGCATAGAAAGTAAGAGTTATGATTTATTTATTAATATGGGATTTAAATCAATAATATGAAGGAAAAATGGTTTTAGGACCTTATTTTTTATTTAGGAGAACTTTATTTCAGTATGCATAATTTGTATGTAAAATAACTGTACTCTCTGCTATGAATTTCAGAGACCCCAACCTGCAGTGCAATGTGTGAATGCTGTGCAGCACAGAAACCGGGATATTACAAGTGCTCTTGCTGCTGAATGTGGGGCCCTTCCACGTCATGGTTCTGTTCTTCGAATCGTTGTTGAAAATGTTTTTTACCCTGTCACTTTGGACATACTGTATCAGGTAATGAGGACTGCTTGAAAAAGTTGCAATCTGTTCCAATGTTTCTACTGTAAATAAATCAATTTATTTCTTTTAATACTTGTGGTTCCTGAATCTTCTGACTGAGGACTGTCTCTTTAAAATAATTTCCTGAATTCAGAGATCTAGGTTTCAAATAGTTTTATGTAAATGATATTCCAGTAAATGATATTCAGGGCTTCAGTACTCAGATTTTCATGTTGTCTCATTTAGTTCCTTGCTGTGGAAACAGCAACAAACTTGAACTCTTAATTCTGTTTTCATTATGAGCTTGTGAAAAAATGTTAGGAACTTGTGAATTGATATTTTAGCACTCTTTCTGCTGAGTAACCTATGTAGTTTGCTTTATATTTAGGGTTTTATGTTCATTTTTATGCCTCAGTGCAAGTGATGTAATATGCAAATTGCTTGTTCAAAATAAATGTTTTTGATTGTTCATCTTTAGAGTGGCATTTGTCTACCTCTGAAAACTTAGAATAATGGTAGGCTGTAGTTATGAAAGACATTACTGTAACTTCTGCTAGGTGTTTGAGCTATGCTGTTGAAAGCTCTAAGTTTAAAAATAATAACTTTAAGACCACTTCTTCTTGTCCAAAATATTTGAAAATATTGCAAAGTTTTTCATACTTGAAATTTTTTTAATTAGTTGTAATTTATGTAGTAAGAACCATGCCCCACATATGAATTTCTTAAATAATGCAATTTAGAGTAACTGGGATGATTTTGTAGGAAGTTGTGGAAGATTCTTTTCCTGCTCTGTTAAGATCTTAAACAATAGTTGTTTTTAGCAACACTATGGTTTTCCTCTTACCTCTTAAAATTTCTGTTTCTCTGCATCTCCTTACCATGATATTGATTAACTAGTGTACATATTAGTTGCTGCTTGGATCTAAACCTTTGTATGTGTCTTTGAGTGTTACTTAGTCATTACTGAACCTGTGCAAATACTACGTCAGCTGGTTAGGATTATTATTGCATTTAGAATAACCTCAGAACAAGCTAGTGTGATTCTGGGAGCAGTACCAGTTCTAAGAATGCAAAAGCAAAGAGGAAATTCATATTAATTTACTTTCATTTGATTTTGGTCTACTTCAGTGCAGCACAACTATATTTTCAATATTTGAATTCCTCTCACTTAACTACTTTCCCAGTATGTCTTGAAAATTTAGCAGTATTTGAAAAGCGATCTTATTTGGAGTTCTTAACAGGGGACCATCTCCTGTAATTCAAGCAGCACTTTGTTCCCAATAGCTACAATCTAACTTTTACTTTGTGTGGTAAGGTTAATGAAAATTAGTATTTTCACTGACAAATATAGCATCTTATGGAACACTAGTAGTCAAGCTGTCATCCCATACTTGGATTGCATTTTGTAAGTTGTCTTGCCTGTCAAAAAATTTACTTTTTTTTTAACCACAATTCACCTTAAAATATCATAAGAAGCTGAAAATTCAGTGTTATCTTTGTAGAAACAAAGTTGATATATACAGTGTGCTTAGTTTTAAAATCAAACAGAAAGGAGTACATTAAATTTCATTACCTTAAAAAGGTCTATTAAGTTTTCTGGATAAACATGGAAAAGCATATGTTGAGAAGCTGTATTTAGGCATTCTTTAAGAGGAAGTGTTTTATGAACAGGAACTCAAAGACTAAATTAAAATTGCTGTGAAAAGGTTTTTGTTGGTACATTAGTGTTGTATGGTTGGTACATTAGTCTTGGATCACTGATTCTAGGCCTAAGAGGCTGGCAAGAGATTATACTAATCTAAGACCTTTCTCTCTATTGCAGGTTTAATATTTCTCAGGGGTTTCTGCTTTCTTGACTTTGCATTGATTATGACAGTTTGTTTGAAAACTAATAGTATTTCTCAAATGCACCTTTCCTCTTTGACTGGACACTTTTTTCCTTTACTGCATGATATGTCCTAGCTTTACTTTTGTCCTCGCTCTTTGTGGCATTGTTTTTGTTTAAACACCTTCATGTAATGCGCACTCTCATTTTGAATGTATATATATTTAAATTCAGCCTTTAAAAGTATTTCTGCAATGCTTATGTTTGCAATAAAGCAAATACCATTTAAGTATAAAGTATAGGGGTAGGTTCAAATCTTGGTCTTTGTCTTGCTTCTTTCCTGGTTGTTTTCTCTTTAAGCGGTGGGTCTTAATAAGCACATCAGTTATTTAAGTTGTATTTTATTCAACAGACTTGCAGAATTTGTCTAATGTAGAGAACATAAAAGTGGATATCTTGACATGCAGTTTGCAGTTCCCATCTCAACTGACTTCCAGTAACAAGGAATAATATTGATAGAAATAGATTCATCAGGTCAACACGTGGCTCTGTTGTGTACTTGAATAAATTCTGGGGTTTTTGACCATGGGATAATCTATTCAACACCTGTTCCACTGACACCTGATGTGATGTACCTTTCTCAGAGGGGAAAAAGGGTTCTAGTGTAGGAAGTAGTGGGGCTTGCTTTGAACTAGCTTGGAACAAGGAAGGGGGATGCATATAAGCTAGAGAATGAGAGGCTGGAGAGCAGCTCTGTGGAGAGGGACCTGCACATTCTGTTCAATAGCAACTTGAATATCAGCAGTGTACAAGGTCTGGAGGGGAGTCCTTGTGGGAAGTGCTGAGGGCACTTGGTCTGTTCAGCCTGGAGGAGATTAAGAGGAGACATCCTTGCAGTTACAGCTTCTTCAGAGGGGAAATGGGAGGCACAGGTAGTGATCTCTTCAGTGTTGTGACCAGTGACAAGACTTGAGGAAATAGAATGAAACTGAGTTGGGAAATGTTCAGTTGGATTGGAAAAGGTTTTTCATCCAGAGGGTGTTGGGCTCTGGAACAGGCTCTTCAGGGAAGTGATCACAGCACCAAGATTGACAGAGTTCCAGAAGCCTTTGGACAATGCTCTCAGGCACATGGTGTGACTCTTGGGGTGTCCTGTGCAGAGCTGGGAACTAGACTCAATGATCCTTGTGGATCCCTTCCAACTCAATGTGTTCTGTGATTCTATGACTTGCAAAGTCCATTTCTCAAACCTCAGCTCAGATTTGAGTTATCCACAATTTATCTGCAGACACTTGACAAATGCTTGTTTGGACTGTCCTTTTCTGTTTAGTTGATTAGACATTGCTAATTCTTTAAGGAAATTTTATCCTTCTTCCCATCTTTTGTAGCCTTTCTCTAATTATTTTTTTACCTGAAACAAAATTCTGAGTTCACACAATTTTTGATCAGCTCTCAAAACTGATATATTTTTCAAAAATTTATTTGGAATATTAAATGCTAATTTTTAGTATGCATTAATTACTCACTGCTTCTTAAAGGCCATGTTTTTTCCCTAACAGATTTTCTCTAAATTTGGCTTTGTCTTGAGGATTATCATGTTCCATAAGAACAATCAATTTCAGTCTCTGCTCCAATATTCTGATGCAATGAATGCATATTATGCAAAAATGGTAAGTATAGTGTATTCAGCTTGATTTTGCTTGTTTGTTGGGGGGTTTTCCTTGCTAAGGGACAGGGGAAGCATTAGGAATGTTTTGACTGTTAACTTTGTGATTTTTTCACCATTCTAACACTCTTGCTGCACATGAATAACTTTGACATCTCTCTTTAGTTAATATTTCCTCTCAGCCTTCTCGAGGCTGAACAGGCCCAGCTCCTTCCACTTTTACTTGTGAAAGAGATGCTCCAATTGCTTAATCATCTTTGTAAGTCTGCACTGACCCCTTCCAAGAGCTCCATATGTCTCTTTTGGGCTGAGGAGCCTACAATTTAACACAGCAGTCCAAATGTGGCCTCGCCAGTGCTGAGTAGCGGGGCAGGATCACCTCTTTGACCTGCTGGCCCTGCTCTTCATAATACAACACAGGATGCCATTGGCCTTGGCCACAAGGACAGATTGCTGGCTCACAGCATCTTGTGGTCCACAAAAATACACATTCTTTGTAGAGCTGCTTTCCAGCAGATCAGGCCCTAGTCTGCGATTTGCATTTGCCTTTGCTGAATTTCAGAAGGTTCCTCTGTGCCCGTCTCTCCAGGCTGTCGAGGTCCTTCTGAAGGGCTGCACAGCCCTCTGGGGTGTCAGCCGCTCCTCCCAGCTTTGTGTGGTCAGTGAAATTGCTGAGGAGGCCTCTGCCCTTTCATCCAAGTCATCTTTAGTTCTCATAGAAAGGGAGCAGGAGGTAATACATAGTCAGATGTGTAGAAAAGCTTTAGCAATTGTTTCGTGACACCTGTGATTCAAGTCCCAGAGAGGTAGGCTGGAGACCTTTTTAGACCAATAGTCAGGTCAGCACATGGGTGTCTCTGTTCACTGTGGCAGGGCATCACCTACAACAATTATGCACTACTTCTGGGTATTCTTGGGCACAGGATCCATCTGCTCTGTTGTTTCATTTGAAGTTATGCCTAGGTCTGGGACTTACATTGGAAAAGACCCTTAAGGTCATTGAGTCCAATGATAAACCTAATGCTCCCAAGCTCACTTCTGTACCATGTCCTGAAGCACAACATCTGCGCATCTGCACTCCAGGGATAGTGACTCCACCACTTGTCTGTTCCAATGCCTGATAACACTTTTGATGAAAAAATTTTTCATAATATCCAGTCTAAACTCCCCTTGCAGAACTTGAGCCCATTTCCCCTTGTCATGTAATTTGTTTCATGGGAGAAGAGACTGACTCCTACCTTGCTACAGCTTCCTTTCAGGCAATTGTAGTAAGGTCTCTCCTAAATCTCCTTTTCCTCAGGGCAGACAGCCCCTCCAGCACTCCTCATGGGACTTGTGCTTCAGATCCTACAATAGAGTCCCTCATGTAAGGGTCAGTTCATAGAGTTAAAATTTCCAAATTAGTATTCCTGTTACCATCTGATACTGTGTGTTGAGTGGGAGAGAAGTAAGATTAGAGACATTAAGAAGTCAAGTCATGTTTAAAGCTGTGTTTTGTCCAGTTGGGTTGGCATAAGATGATATAATACTAACTAGTGGACTACACCAGAGGTTTAGGTAAGGATAATGGCAGCATAATTGTCTACTTGGTGTTTGGAAAGAGAGCTTAATACCAGAAGGTGAATTACTGTTTGGGTTCAGTTGCAAGGTGAAAACTTTATAATGTTGGAGTGGTTTGGGTTGGAAGCAACCCTTAAAGGTCATCCAGTCCAATCCCCTGGAGTGAGCAGGGTCATCTTAATGAGATCAGGTTGCTCAGAGCCCCGTCCAGAAACATTACAACTCATTGTAAAAAAACTTCTTCCATACAGCTAATCCAAATCAACCCTCCCAGTTTAAAACTATTACGCCTTGTCCTATAGCAGCCTGCCCTACTAAAAGATCTGTCCTGATCTTTCTTATAGGCCACCTTCAAGTACTGAAAGGCTGCAATAATAATAAAAACTTAAAATGATGGCTGCCATTATGTATTTTATCTCTGAAAATGTAATTATTTTTCTTCAGTCTCTGGATGGCCATTGTATCTATACTGGGTGCTGCACTCTGCGTATTGAGTTCTCCAAGTTAGCTAACCTAACAGTGAAGTACAACAATGACAAAAGCAGAGATTTCACTCGCATTGACCTTCCTTTTGGTGATGGCCAACGAACTGTGGAGACATCCATACCCTTTGGTAAGAAGCCTTCACTTCTAGTGCTACATACTGAGATGATAATTTTTATGTCACATTTATGCTTTGGTATCATATCAAGTTCATAGAGAGGTACATTTTTGTTTGCTATGTCCAGTAAAACTCATATGGAAAGCATGAAGTCCAAGTCATGGTAAATGAATATCTGAAACAATAACGTGAGGAATACTAGTGGGCAAGTTTTAAAGTGTTGTAAAAGAGCTACAAAATACTACTAAAATGCTGTGAAATTGTATCATTGGTACAGGTAATGTAGTAAATATTTCATATCAGAAGTTGACACTGGCTGCCTATGGCTACTTTAAAATAAGTGTTTTAAGGGTATTTGCTCTTATTTGTTGATATTTTAGAATAAATGAGTGCTGCAAGAAACAAAACTATGAAAATCCAAAATTCTATACTTATCTATATATGTCTATACTCATCTTTTAAAATACAAAATGTAAGAAATTTTCTTAAATTTTGGAAGACACTTTGGCATATAGGAGACAGTCTGCTTGAAGTGACACTGGAGAAATGCTCACAACTCAATTTGAGCAATTTTAGCTATTTTTCTCTCTCTGTAATGACAACCATTAGCAATAATACATGGCTAAGAACTGTCTTAGCTGTTGAATAGGTATTAAGTGCTGTCCAATTGATTATCACATTAAAAAATGTGGGAGAATAATTCCCTATTTTCCTTTACATTTCTGTGACAGCTAGGGCAAATACTGGGTTTAGTTTGATTTTTAGATACTTGAGTTAACTTAGATTAGAATTAGAAAGTGAGTTTAACTCACTTTCTTGATTTTTGTCTTTACTGCTTCCCTTAAACACAGGCCTTGGATCTTTATGTATTGGACAAACATCATTACAGTGTGGGGCAGAGGAGGGTGGTGGAATTTGCCATACAGCATTATAGAAATGTACTGTTACAAGTCTAATATATTCTAACTAATTGGACTTGCACTATATGAAATGTCAGTGGAAGGGAAAAATACAATTAGAGTAGTTTATTTCTGTGTTTGCTTGTAGGGCAGAAATAACTATGCAACACTTCTCCCTGTCTTCCCCCTCACTCTTCCAGGCTTCTCATTGCTAGGAGCCTTGTTTTGTTTTATTGTAAGAGTAAGAAGTGCTGGAATAGTCTGATGTCTGTACCAAAATTAGTCTGTAGTACATTCATAGAAAGCAGCTGCACATTTGTTTAAAAAAACCCAATAAAAATAGCTATAGATGGAGAGAAGTGTGCTTCCTAGCCTTTCTGTCAGATGTCAATATGCACATATTGTCATTGGCATGTTCTGAGAAGCTTAGTTACAGAACATGAAGAAAAGATGTTCTAAGTCATGTGAGTACTTTTACTACTTCTTATTACTATTGAATGTAGTTTTGATGCATAATTATATGACAAAGCTGGTAACTTTCAGAATAATATATCTGTTTCTTATTGTAGACTTGATGTTATCTTAATAGCAAAACTAAACTGTTCTTGGAACTTGTTTTTCTTCTTTTTCTTTAATTTTCTTCTGCTTTTTTTGGAAAAGATGCTGCACTATAAACAGATTTTGTGCATATTTTGCATTTAAAGAGTTCTTGCATTCAGTGAGCAGAAATACATGAATTGGCTTGCTTAGAAAGCTAGGCTGATAGCTATGAAGCAAATGAATTTAAAAAAAAAAAGGCAACAAAGAATTCCAGGTCTTCCTGCATTAGCTGAGTTTGACAATTTTTACATTCCTGATTTTGGTATCAGCATGCAACATCCAGGTCTTATTTGGCAGCATCTATTTCTTCATTATTATTTCCATTACCATTCTTGGATGGTGAATAAGTGATTAATAATCGGATATATTACTAGAACTTGTCCGTATAATTTCAAAAATTTATTTACTTGCTTTGGTGTGATAAATCTGTTCAGTTCTATTGTATGAAAGTTACTTTTTTTTGCCACACATAAGAGGAGGTGTAATGTGATTCAGTATATGAATACTTGATCTGTAGTGTCTGTTACATTTCTTTTTGTAATTCATAATAATTAATCAAGTAATTCTTTCGGTATTGTATTATCCCTATTGATAACCATTTATTAGTAGCTCTATTTTAGTCAGTCATGTGGAGGTCCGAGTACTACAACAGACATATTACCAGATATTACTTGTAGTATGCCTTCTAATTATACATGCTCCATTTGAAAAAAATTAAATCTGACTTGTCCTTACATATGAATGAATCCACCACTCAAGCTTGTATCTAACTGCTTGGAACACAGCTTTGTGTGCTACCCTGGGTAGCACTTGACTGCACAAACTAATGTGGAAATTACTGAGCTATCTTTGATGCTGGGACTCTCCATATGTTGCTATTCCAAATCTTGTTTCCAGGAGATTAATGATTTCCAGGGGAGCTATAAAAAACACTGATTTTTTTGTTTATTAAGTTACAAACACTGGAAAAGTCCATCTCCGTAAAAAGCAGAATATGTATGCTTTATGCATTTCAGATGCTAGTAAAATTCAGAGATTAGTTGTAGTTTATATTGTTTAGCTTGTACTGATCTTAGTATTCAGGAGTTCTATCTCATCATTGCAAAACACCTTTGACTGTATTTACTTGCAGAAAATTTCTGGAATATATGTCCACTGTGTGAACAGAAACCACTGAAAACAGGCTTTAATGGATACTAGTTTCTGCTGTGCTTTCCTATTCAAACTTCTCTATTTTACATTTTGCCCTGACTTCATTTTAGAGAGGAATGTTGAGGCTGACCAGACTATTTGCTTTCAAAAGTGGCTGAACATTGTCTTTGTAAAACATAGAATCTTGGATTTCAATGAGTGTTTTAACCCAGAAGTTTTATAAACATCTGGAATCCTGTATAAAGTTAAAATAGCAACACTGGTAGCTGATTCTCATTGCTGAAATCTCTTCTGTTTCCTAAAACTTTAAAAATCTGCTTTAAAAAAATCTGTCTGTTCTCTCTAGCCACCCAAAATACCATATTTCCATCATATACAGGGCCTCCTGGGTTTGCCCCAGCCTTGGGCTTTCCTCAGGGAGCAGGTAAGTTTGTTTTCTAAAAATGTGCTGTTTGTAGTTACGGCTAGTGACCCGTCAGAATGCATCTATTCAGAGCCATTTGTTTTAAAATATAGCAATCAGAACACAGTATTAATTTGAGTGATTGTAATTCTTTCTTATATAAATACTCAATAAAATAAGTTCCTGTAATAAAAACTATATCCTGATATAATTTATCATTCAATAAGCAAAGAACCTAAATGCCATGATAAAGATTACCTGCAAGAGAAGGAATTAAGCATTTATTGTTTCTCAGAATCATAAAACTGCTATGACAATCAAATCAAATTGAGGGAACTCTGCATTTCTGGCTATCAAGTGAGAAATAGTTTTTTAGACTGTCATCTTTCTCTTTCTAGCAGAGGATAAACTTGTGTGCTGAATTTTTTTTTTTCTTTCTTGGGCTGCAATTTATGTCCACGTTTGTTTGGATCTATTTGTGTAGCTGAATATTTCTTTTTTCTCTGAAAGGGAGGTGCTTCCTGCTTTATTGGTCAGATACTAGTAATAAATAAATTTCTTATAAGCATTTAAAATTGGATATTGATGTTTTTGCCAAATACAACCTGCTTGTGTATTCTTCCTTATCCACTTTGAGATATTGTCAAGTGATGCTATTTATACCTTTCCAGGTCCTTCTGTTCTGCCTGTTCCTGGAGCACTTGGTCCTCTCATGGTCACTACATCAGCAGCACCTGGACACATGACTATTCCTGATATTCCAGGAAACTCTGTTTTACTAGTCAGCAACCTCAACCCTGAAGTAAGTTTGATTGGTGGAACTGATGTGTCACCTTGTACCAACTACCAGAATTCTTGCAAACTGGCATTAGCTGAAGGAGTAAGAGAAATTTTCTATGATGATAATACAAAAAACAGGACAGATCTATACTTGTTTTAGGTAGTTGGCAATATTTAAAAACTATACATATGATAATTTACTGACATCTCTGTTAGTATGACTCCTCCATGTGCTTTTTTATCTTTAACAAAGGCAAAGGATTTTTCCTTACATTGGTTAAAAAACAAGGAATTAAAAGGAAAGGAGGAAACAGAAAAGGAAATAAAAGCATGCCAAATCAAGTACCTTTCTAAACATGTGTAGGATCTTTCTAGTTTTGCAACTCTTTTGAGATTGAAGAAAAAGAATGCATGTACATTATGTTATTGACATCACTCTACTTTTATTTTAAAAAGTTAATAGCTACCCATGTTCACTTTTCATAGTACCATATAGATGCTTTTTCATATAGTGGCAGTAAAGTTACCAAGGACAACTTGGAAAGTTATTTTTGTAGTGGAAATTACATAGGCTAGTCTGTAATCTTCCTCATGTTATTCAAACACTGATCAGTTCTTAAGTAAAAGCAATACACATCTTCTTAAAAATTAAAATCAAGCTTTACTAGGACCATGACTTAAAACACAATTCTTTTTGACTGTTGATAAGCAGTCCTATTGCAGCAATGTAAAATTTTTGTTGCACACACTCCATACATTTACTTAACTGTAAAACTTCAGGTGTTGTTGGCAAACTTGAAGTTACCTTCATATTCTGAGGTTTAAAAATCAATTAACCAGTTTCTTTAAGTAATTTTTCTATTTCTGGTTTTGCACTAACAGTCGAATTCACAGTAAGCATCAAAAACCCAGCTGTAGATAGGGCTGTGAGACAAGTTACTTTTTCTTTGATTTTACAGTATATCAGAGTTTCTGATGATGGCTTCAGATCTGCTTTCTGCAGCTGACTATTTAAGATTATTTTCTGAATCTGAAAGGAGCGTGCCTCTTAAAAATAAGCATATGTGAAGCATAGGTCAGAGCTCTTTTTAGGACACTGATGCTTTGCATAGTATCAATCATAGCTAAGAATTTATGTAGAACTTAGTGCTGTAATGCATGATACAATATTAATGTATTAAGTAATGTTCAACTTCTTAAAAGGATAAAAATAAGAATGTACTATAGCATTAATTATTGGTAATATATTTTTTGGCAGTTCTGTAGCACTTGTTCTTCAGTATTGGTTGTCTGACCCCTGTCACTCCTTTTTCTCTGTATAGAAAATCTGGTTGACCTTATTTCAGTTCATATTTCTCTCCTGTTGCAAGTTTTCAGTGTGCATTTTAACATTCCTTCATGACTTTTAAATTATCTAGTTTTGTCTTTCATTCTCCTCTCCTCCCCCCCCCTTTTTTTCTAAGTAAAAATACTTCAGTCTCATTTGAATTAAAAAAAAAAAATTAAGAACAGAAGTATCCATCCTGAATTTAAATATTTCTACTAGAAAATAAACTCTTTAGATTTTACATTGATAGTAATTGTTCTCTACCACTAAATGCTGATGATAAATGGGTATGGCTGTACACTTAGGCTGCAATATCTTATAGTTTTGAATAATTTAGGTATGTTAAGTACCCATTTGAGAAGTTGAGTTAAGAAGGAATAGGACTAGAGAGTGTGAGTAGTGCTTCTGATATGCAGATATTTTTAGAGCTCATTACTGGCAAAAGCTTTGCCACAGCTGAAAAAATTTGTCTGCATTAGATTTAAATTATCTTATTTGGTATTTGGCACACAAGATTTGTTTTGAGAATCACTGAAGAGAAGTTTCTTTCAATATTTGCCTTTCTGTTCACAGCTTCTAATTGAATACAATTTAAACACTATTTTCTGTATGCTTCATACATAAACAATTAAATTCTCTGTCTCCCTTTAGAATGTCATGGCCATATAGAGAAATGGGGACAAAATTGAAGACAAAGCAAACAATTTTGAAGCAACTGGTTTTAGTTTTGTTGGTATTGTCTGTTGTTTACAATATGCAAAGGAATTCTTTAATGCTTTATTTTCAATTTAACAAACATTTTTCATTCTTTTCACGGAATGAGCAGGTAGCTTAAAAAGGATAAGGATAACAAAGCTCCTTAAAATTAATAGCTTCTGCAGCATGACAGAATGAGTCTTGAGTGACAAAAATGCATGAGCTGAAGTGTTTGTTTGTTTACATATTTTATATGTGGATAGCAAATGTGTATTAACAAGAGTGCCATACACTGATTATTCCAGGGAATAGCTTCTGGAGAGACAGGTGTTATGTATTAGTATGCAGCATCTCTTCCATTCTTTTTGTTTACCATGCTTATAGAATAGATGTCTTCATTTGCATGGCTTTAGAAATAATGTACTCATTTTATCATTTAAACAGGCCATCACACCTTATGGACTTTTCATCCTGTTTGGTAAGATATGTCAAATATACCTTGACAAACCACAGGGCTAGTGGTTATTTTTATTTATCTGACCCATGCTGGTTAATTCAAACTGCATTGCTCTGTGCATGTCCAGGAAATGCACTGAGAGAATGCACTGGTTTTAGAATGGCAGTAAGTTGAGTCATTATTCAAAAGCCACAGATACAAAATGGCAAAACAGTTAGTGTCAGAAGAATTTTGGTGTGTGGTCCAATTTGTTTACTACAAAAAATGGGAAAGCAAAGTAAGATGAAAAACCAGAGGTTGTGTGAGAGGAAGAGCTGTACAGAATTGGCTCATACATTAGTTGCAGGGGACAGTTTTGGGTAGAGTAATATTTTAGTATGCCTCGGGTAAGAAGACTTGGTCAACGATTGCACTATTTAAAAACTGAACATAATCATGCAGTAGTATGACTGGGATCTGGGGAGTTTTCCTCCACTTATGAGCCCCAGAATATAATAAATAAACTTTAAAACTCTTTTTATACTAATACTTTAACCAACCTGTTTAATGGGGTGTTATTCTTTGTAACACAAATGTTAGTCAAAAGAAACAGACTTGGCCTTGTGCTTTTCATAGTAGTACTCTGAAAAAATTTCCTTTCTGGATTTCTGCAGGTGTGTATGGTGATGTGCATCGTGTGAAAATCATGTTTAAGAAAAGAGGAATAGCTTTGGTTCAGATGGCAGATGCAACCCAAGCTCAATTAGGTATAGAATTTTAAGGCACAGTTATGCTTCAAGGTAACATGAGTTTAACATAAAGGAGGAGTTTTTTATCTGTCAGTGACAAGCATAAACATATAAAATTCATCATTATGCTGCATTACTACATGCTGCATAAAACTTTGATAATACTCTTAGTGGTTTAAAAAATAGTCCTATGAATCGCAATCTAGTAAATGATAGAATTAAAATATAGAACTCTCCTGTCATTAATTTAAATAATACATTATATTATTTTCCTGTAATTTATCTTACACCAACCTATTTAAGAATGATCAACAGATCAACTGATCTGTACTGCAGTGCTGTTTTGCAATTTTTTGGCATTTGAACTGGAGATTATATTATATCCTGTACCTTTTTAAAATGTAATGTTGTGACCTAACCCACCTGGTAGATGTGGAAATTGCAGTTTAAATTTAGAATGTGAAATCTGACAGTAAGTAGACAACAGTATTAGTATTCAAAATATTTTCTTCCCCTCCATTAATTCCCCTCCATTAATTAGTTCAAATTACATTTCCACTGGTTAGCTATCAACTACTTGAATGGACAGAGGCTTTATGGAAGGGTCATGCATGCTACTCTTTCAAAATATCAGACAATTCAACTTCCTCGTGAGGGACAAGAGGACAAAGGTCTGACAAAGGACTATAGCAATAGCCCTTTACATCGCTTTAAGAATCCCTGCTCTAAGAATTTCCAAAATATCTTTCCTCCATCTGCAACCTTGCATCTGTCCAACATCCCGTGAGTATCTGCATGTCTCATCATCTTGCAAAGATGTTTTTTACGTGATGTTGTCAAGTTAAAAAGTCTAACATAAGTTTTGGTTTTCTTTCCTTGGCCTTTTACAGTTCATTCTGCTGTGTGCAATTCTGTAGTTCATGTAATTAACAATAAATAAATCCTTTAAATGCCCCTTTATTATCATTAGCAAAGAGGATAACTGAAGGAGTTATCATCTTTGAGTTTTGATCAATTTATATCTTCTTGAGAGCTTGTTTTTGGTTTTTGACATTAAATTGTGTCACAAATTTTCACAAAGGTTAAAGTTGTGTTTTTTATGGTAATGTACATGACAACAAATCCATCATTGACATTATTATTTAATATAGATAAGGTATTTAATAATTCTAACACTTTTTGAAGAACAGTTTCTACAGAATTCAGGTCTCTTATGTGAAGGGCAAGTTGTGAGTAAGTAAAAAGTATTTAGTGTATTCTTTAAGACTGAAACAATCTTTTTATGTCTAGAATATTATCAGTAGTGTATGGAATTGCAGCCAAACATAAGTTTTACAGGGTTCTCTTGTTTGGCAGCTACGCAGGGAGGAAAAAAGGAAACTATGGAATTTTGCCACAGTAAGAAAGTAAATTATAAGACACTTTGAAAACAGCTTTTTGAGTAAAATGAAAATCTTTCAAAATTGGAAATATGTGACGTGCATTTGCACAAATTGCAAGATGAAATGTATTCCTTAAGGTTTTAGGAGGTTTTTATGCAATCTGAATTTTACTGACAAAGAAACTAGGTTGGATGAAAAACAATAGTGTCTAAAATATTTTTGTAGCACAATGTAATACTAAAATGTAAGTGCAAGTGTTTGAGTTGATGGAGATAAATTTAAACAACAAAAACTAGTTTAGAAGACAAAATTGAGATCTTGATATTATTATAGATCACTGTGCTCTTCTACAAGTTAAGGGGAGTTTGGTTTTGGTTTGTTTGTTTGCTATTTTCAATTAGGTCTTCTGTTACTGTCGATGATTTGAAGAACCTTTTTACAAGTAAAGGATCTACTGTGAAAGGCTTCAAATTTTTACAGTAAGTTCTTTTGTAAAATTGCTAAGCAAGCTTTCATCCTAGAAAGTAGCTAATTGCTTTTTTATGACTTTCTATGTGTATACAACTACAGGCAAAATTCCATGTATATATAGTATATACGTGTACTTTTATGATGCCTTGCCTTAAAATTTTAAATGGAATACTGAGTTAGCATAACTAAATTGAAAATACACGATGTTTTGACCAATTCCATGTGTATTCGAAATAAAACAAGTTTAAGGAAAGTAAATGCTTATTTCTTGCAAAAATACAAGCTTTGTGAATGTAAAATGCCATATAGAAAATGACAGTGATTACAATGTATCTACATCAATTAAGGGTAGTCGGCAGTATTATTTTAGTACAATCATACCTGCTACAATAATCTCATCTATATGGACAATGCAGGTATTTCTTAGAGGTCTTCAAGCCTTATTTTGACCTAGCTTTTTGAAGTCCAGTGTAATGAAATAATGACATGACTTTAAGGCATAGATTCACAAAATTTATGTAGTTTTTTTTGTCTTTGCATTTTGGCACATGCATAAGTAGCTCTGATTCTTTTGCTGTACAAGTGAGTGATATAGCTGAGAAAAAATAAACCACTTATGCCACTTTTCTGTGTTGGCTAGTGAAAATTTGGCTAGGATTAATAAGTGCTTTTATTGTTCTTCAGGAAAGATTGCAAAATGGCTCTTATCCAGCTGGGCTCAGTGGAAGAAGCAGTTCACGCTCTCATTGAGCTTCACAATCATGACTTTGGAGAAAACCAACATCTCAGAGTTTCCTTCTCAAAATCTTCAATCTGAATTTTCCCTTTAAGGCTGCATAATGGTTTTAGTAAAACCTTCAAATAGAGACTGAGAGAACTCTGACCAACTCTGTCTCTTAAAAGAAAAACCTCATTCATACACAAAAAATTAAGTGATGATTTTTTCTGATTCCAGCTGCAATTATGTAATCCATAGAAAGATTCTTCTGTGAAATCATTCTAGCAACAATATTTTTCATCACATTTCCTACTTAAATTTATATTTTGAGACCATCCTTTCAGCTTTTGTTTGAAATCAGCCTTACAAAACAATTTAGAGTGCTTTTACAATGTACCAAACTAGTATGTTTAATTAAAAGGTAAATCTATTCTGTGCAGATTAAACACTAATTTGAATGTGAAATAGTGCTTGGGTTTCTTGAAGAAAAGCAAACAGTAACTGTGAGTATCCTCTAAATAGTATTTATGTTACCAGGGTGTATTCATACTTTGGTGAATCTTTACAAATAACTTGTTTATAAAAATAGAAAGATTAAATTATTAGAGAAAAGGCAGTGCCTTCTCTCTGTGGAATGAAAGTATTTGACAAATTTCTTTAAGGTGTGGTATTGGAGAATTAGTTTGGCTTGACTGTGGGTTGGAAGTTTGATGTCCTATTTCTACTATGAAGGGATGTGTAACAGTACCTTAGAGAAAATAAAACAAGGAAATGGCCCTGATTTAAAATAATTTATGTTTTTCTAAATAATTAAATGTTTGCAATCTTGTGGAAAATATTCAGGTCTGTGATGGTTTCTCAAGGTTTTAAGAAGTTATTTTTGCTAAGGTCATCTTTCAGGGCAGAAAAACTAAGCCTTGAGGTATTTTACCACTCTGCAGTCTAATACTTAAATTACTGTGCATTTACCTAATTTCTTATTTTGTGCCTTACTATATGTGTATGAATAGAGTGTTACCTGAAGTATCTTGCAAAAATATTGTGGGCCTTGTGAAAATTCTCCTTTTGGTCTTTTTGTAAATGTTTTCCATGATAATTCAAGAAATATATTTTTTCATTAATTAATATTTTGAATTCTAGTTTCTTATGCTTTCTTATGGAGATTGGATGTAGATGGGAGTGAGGTTTCATTTGTTGTGAAATCACATAGAGATTCTTTAAATTTACCTAGTTGCACTTCTCTGATGGTAGTTGTTCACTGATAAAAAATTCACACCCAGAAAAAATATACAAAAAAACCAAACAAACCTATATAGGAGGGCCAAACAGCAAATCCAGTTAATTTTCTGGACTTCATCTGACTTTTTCAGAGACACTGGCTGTATCAGAATGTTCTTTTGGGTTTCTGCATTTCTTTATTTTTAATACTTTACAGTATTAAATTCATAGAATGCTATAATTCTTTCCTTTGTAAGTATGAAAAAATGTTTGATACTGAATCTTGATTCCTCTTTGGGGGATGAGCTGAGATGCAGTTAGGTTTTGCCATAAGTATACTGATGAATACTAATCTGTATTTTAAAAAGCTAAATTTCTTTTTAAGAGCTTTTTCCCCCTGGTGTTTATGCTTTCACATAAACTAATTTAAAATTAATTTAATTTTACCTACCACATTTTAAAGACCTATTTCTTCCAAACACGGCATTTGTCTACTTCTAACTATTGCAGAATTTACTTCTGCTCTAATGTTTTGCCACTCATAATTGTTTTTGTTAATCTGAATTGTATGACTTTATCTTTCTAGAAGAAACAGTATGTTTCTACCATGATCTGAGTATCCTGTAGTGAGCTTTCTCAAATTTTCTCTCTGAATTATTTTTGCATAATCAGCCTATATAGTAGCTTGCCAGATACTACCTTGATCTATGTAAATTGGTTACAGGTGTAGTATTAAGGAAACTTCTCTGCCTGGCCATCCAGGAGCCACTCTGGCACTCTTGCACCACCTGAGCTGGAACCAAGGCCCCTTCCCAGCTATGTCTCCTCGCTCACACCGTCACACCAGGGTTCCATCCCCAGGTTTTCCATAGCAATCTCAGGCATCCCAACCATTAAAACAATTTCATCACAGTGCAATAACAAACTAACAGCTCTGGCTGGTGTCTCTGAGGAGGGACTCTGAACAAAGGATCCCTTAGGCTTTTATCCTCTCACCAGTCTAAGCGTGGGAAGGTCTGGGATCGTCGGTTCTTGCCATGTCTGTGTCTGGTCCCCTGGCTGGGCACAGGTCCCCAGGCCCTTGTTGTGCCCAGGGTTGGCTCTTCATGGCCTCTTTGCCTGGGCTCCCCCAGCCTGAGCTCATCCTGCAGCTCCACTGCAGCTGCACTCCGAGCTACCTCAGTGAATGTGTTCCTCAACAATAGCAGCCCATCTGACTGCACAGATGTAGCTATAATAAGTGCTGTACAACACATCTATATAAATATGCAGAATGTATTATGTACTAGAAAGTTCAACTGGTTTAGGAATAATATTCCCCTAAGGCATGTTATCTTTTGGATTTTACAGAATCACAGAATGGTGTGGGTTGATCTTCATGAGTTTCTTACAGACTCAGACTGCTCAGTCTGTCCAGATCCTTCTGGATAGTATCCTTTCTTTCCAGGTGTGCTGACTGCACCACAGAGCTTGATGTAGTCAGCAAACTTGTAGAGGGTGCAGTTGATTCCACTGTCCATGTCACCAACAAGGCTGTTTAACAGCTCTGGTACCAATCAATGATTATCCTTACAGAACACTGCTCATTATTGGTCTCCACTTGGACATCAAGCTGTTGACCACAACTCTTTGAATGTGGCCATTTAGCCAATTCCTTTTCCCACTAGAGTTCCACTCATCAAATCAGTGTCTCCAGATTAGGGACAAGGAAGTTTTGTGAGACAGTGTCATACTTTGCACAAGTCCTGGTAGATGACATCAGTTGCTCTTTTCTTATTCACCATTGCAGTTACTGTTGTGGAAGGCCATTAAATCTCTCAGGCATGATTTGGCTTTAGTGGAGCCATCTACTTAATAATCTTTCTGAGAACCAAGGTGGGACTTCCAGACTTGTAGTTCCCTGGGTCTTTCTCATTTTCCCTTTTACAAATGAAGGCTATATTTTCCCTTTCCAAGAAAAGCTTTAGCTTTCACAATTTCATAGACTTGGGCTGCTCAGAAAACTCTTTTCCTCCCAGGCTACGTGTTATTACTATTAGTGTTTGAATTCATCCTTTTAGGGTTCCTTGTTCATCTAACACCATCCTGACATTTTTGCCTGACTTCCTTTGTTGGGATAATCACTCCTGAGCTTGGAGAAGGTGATCCTTGAATACCAACCAGCTTTCCTTGGTCCCTCTTCCCTCCAGGGCCTTATCCCATGATACTCTATGAGGCAGATCCCTGAGGATGCCAAAGTCTGCTCTCCTGAAGTCCAGGGTAGTGAGCTTTCTGTGCACTTTCCTTGCTGCCCTAAGGATCTCAAACTCCATTTCATGGTCCTCGCAGTCAAGGCTGCCCCTGAACTTCACACTGGTGGGAACCAGTTCCTCCTTGTTGGGGAAAAAAAGGTCCAACATAGCGCCTCCTCTCCTTGGCTCGTCCATCAGTTGAAGAAGGAAGTTATCATCAGTGCATTCCAGGCAGCTTCTGGATTGGTTATGTGCTGCTGTGTTGATAGATATTAGAGTGGTTAAAGTTCCCCATGAGGAAGGTTTGTGTATGTGAGGCTGTTCTTCTCTGTAAGGGGCCTCATCTTCTCTGTCTTCCTGGTCAGACAATCTGTAGCAGACCCCCACTATAAAGCCACCTTCCCTTGTGTGCCTTTAATCCTGACCCATTAACTCTCAGTCAGCTCCTCATCCATCCCCAAGTAAGACTCCATGATCTCTGGCTGATCATTGACATAGAGGGCAGCACCACCTCCTTGTCTACCCTTCCAGTCTTTTCTGAAGAGCTGATATCCATATCCTTCCATTCCAACACTCTACTCTTTGGAACCATCCCACTGTGTGTCCATGACATACCAGTGAGGTCAAAGGCGTGCCTACATGTCTAACTCTGCTTGTTTATTTCCTTTCATATGTACTCTTGCATAGGTGCTTTGGATTTGAAACTCTAATGAAGCTGACTTACTGGCTGAAGTAGCTACAATTCCCTTGTGTTTTTCTTCTGCTGGCACTGGCATCAAATTGATAGGAGTGGGATGGACTGAGGTTCATTTGCCCTGGCATCTTTAGATTAAAGCCCTTCTCACCACCTTGACAAGCCTGTGGCAGAAGATGCTTTTCCCCTGTTCTGACCAATGGACCCTGTCAACCCTCAGTAGAGCAATTTCTGAAAGCAAGTCCCATGGTCAAAGCAGCAAAACTCCTGCATGGGGTACAGCCCCAGAAGCATTTGCTGATTCACCAGATTTGACTGGCTCTTTCAAACACCTTCCCTTTGACTGTGAGCTTCGATGAAAAGACTGCCTGTGGAATCTTAAAAAATTTTAACTTAGGAAAAATCTGAATGTCAGTATTTATTATGTTTGCTCTTCGGATTTGTGGTACAAGTATTGTGTATCTTTTTTTATTCACCTTTATTGTTCTTTATTTTTTTATTCACCTTTATTGCAACCAAATTATTCTCGCCAACATACTTTTAGATTTGTGTATATCTGAAAGATGCTGCCTCTTAGTGAGATCTGCTTTTACAAGACATACAGATAAGCTTTGAAACTTGACAGTACATCTTAACATTTGCTTGGTAATGTGAAGGCACTAGTTAAGGTTACTTCTTCCTTTTTAGTGTTCCACCTTGAATAATTGAAAGCATAAACGTAGCACCTTAATTATTACAATGCATTGTTGTGAAGATTCATGGCAGGAGGAATACTTTTTATACTTTGTGCTTGACTCATTAGTGCCTGGTGCAAAAGCACAGTTGCATCTCAGTTCTTGATTCTCTAAAGCTCTGGATATCTGTGAAAAGAGCAGGATTTGGGAAAGAATCATATTCCACAGAGTCTTGTGGTGATGTAGATGGAATAGGACCTCCAAAGGCCTTAGTCCTACATTTCAGTCAGGTTATAGACAACTTTAAGCCATTACTCAAAGAATTGTCCATGTAAATGAAAAAAAAAATCAAATGGAACAAATTCTCAGTTCTTTCCTGTTCCACAGTTCTTTTCTGTTTGGTGGTCCTCATTGTGAATTTGCTTCCTTAATTAGTAACTAGGCTTTAAATATACTACATTCTATGTCTTTTGCCTTTTCCCCTCTTACCTGTGTAACTCTGAAGAGGATTCTGTGTTCATCTTCTTTATACTGTGGCCTTAAGCTGTTAAATTTCTTTAATATATGTTTAATATATGTTATTAATTTCCGTTTGTCAAGTATCTGGTAACATGTACAGTTTGAGTTGGAATTTGGGTACATGGTGGGATTCTTTGGGGCTGTCTTGTGCAGGGCCAGGAGTTGGACTTGATCCTTGTGGGTCCCTTCCACTTCTGCATATTCTATGATTCTGTGACCGTATGGTTATGCCTCTGTATATGTCATGTCCTTGAATCAACTCTGAGTTACCTCCTAGTCCATTTTTTTGGATAGATGCACGCTTGCTTCAAAGTGTAATAAGGCCTTTTTAACAACCCAGGAGCAGCTAAGTGCCTTTTCAAATGATTCTTGATTTGTTATATAATGGTAAAACCTCTGCTTCTTTTAATTTCTGCAGAACTCTTAAAGCATCAGAACCAATTTCTGAAATTTTGACTCATAATTTGATTCGGTTGCCTTGTCTGCTGGTCCTGTAAGTTGCACTGGATTTGTGTACTAATAAATTGAGGTCCTTATATTCAGAAGATATTCTGCATACCTGTGGAAACTTGCCTATTTGTGACATTTTTCTGATTACAGGCAGCAAACCTGTGTTTGTGTGCCAAGAACACTATTTGTCTTTGTGGATGGTAGTGCCAGTGAGGTCTGTCTGATCAATTATCTTGCCCTCCTCTGATTCATGTCAGTAGGCAAGTGTTAAGTTGGGGTTTTTTATAAGAGATGTAAACCTAGTAGTTGCCATTTTATGCTGTTAGCTTATACTTCTGTTTTTCAAATGAGAGGTTAGCTGCCTACAAAAAGTATTGTTTTGCCTTAACCTTTGGCCCTGATACATCGTTAGTTGGAGCCCAACTACCAGACTTAGTCTTGTTACTGTTGTGTGGAAACTATACTAGTCAGATTGCACAGAATTTTTTCTTTAAATTAACTTTATCTTCTGTCTTCTGAAGTTTAGTTTGCTATATACAAGATTGTTTGCCTGCTCTTTTCAAAGCAAATCCTAACAATTTGAATATAAAATTTCTGAAGCATTTAACTTCAGGTTTTATTGATGGGGATGTTATGTAGGAACAAAATTGGACCAAAGTTTTTGTGCCTTCAGTAGTTTTATATATAGGGTTTTTCATACCTTTAGGTGTCTTAATTATAATAAATACATTTTTCCCCTCTGGAAAATGTATATTTATATTGTGAAAAATTACTATTGTCTACTGACTATACAAGAAGTGAACTACAGCTGTTTCAATACAGATTTAATTATTCTACTGTCTTTCCCATAACAGTTTTACTTTTCTACTGCAATGTGTAGGAATCCAAGCATAACTCACGTTATTTCCAACTTCAGATAATAATGACATGTGCTTGGAGCAGTCCCAAATAAATTCAATGCTTACATAATTGAAGGTCCTTGATAATGAAGAAAGCTTTTACTTCAGCAGATTAATGTCATCACTGTAAGCAATTTTTCAGTTCTTGGAAACTGTGCTTTATTTATGAGTGGGAAGCTACCACACATAAACTTGATTTGAAGCCCTTTCCAATTATTTTTTAATATGTTACCCACTTTCTGCAGAAGGTCACCATAGAACTGCAGCAGAACAAGATGAAAGTTGCTAACAAAGCAGATTCTTGCATCAGAATGTCACTTCATTCTCTGACCAAAGAATGTTCTGGTTTTACTGAGATGTATGGAAACCTGTTATCTCTGACACTCCCTTCTGATGGGAAGACCCAAAGTGGCCTCTATTTGAGATTGTTACTGATGGTAGAAACAGTGGAAAATGGAGATAGTAATGTGAAACAAGTGGTGTGAGAGAAGGCAAAATGTTAATATGTTGCTTTTAGTACTGTATTCAAGACACAGGAAACATCTCTAAGAATTGCTGTTGATCCATTCATAAAAGTTCCCTATCAGTTTATAAAAATGTTCATCTAACACAGGAAAATACTGTAAATATTTGTAATATCCTGTTTTGTTGTTTTTTGCTTTTTTTTTTTAATATGGCATAAGAGTGTTTGGGGAAACAAATTGAAATGTAAAATGTTTTTATATGAAAAGATTGTCTGTATATTTTAATAAGCAAAAACTTTCATTTGTAAAGCATCTTGTGGCATTGCATGAAAAATATTTTATATCTGTGGAGATGATTTAAAACTGAAAAGATATAAGATGAATTAAAGAAACCTATTTTGTGACTGTGTAGTGCATGGTGAATTTGATTTTGCTTATGCTGTAATATAGTCTGGTTTTTTAGGTACGTGTTTTTTCTAGTTACACGATATCTATACCTACCTAATTTCCTAACTCTAGATGCTGTAGCATGTCTTTTAATAAATGTAATTATGTCTGTACTCTCTTAAATTTTCCTGTGTTCTTATCTATTACTTTGGGGTTTTTTGGTCTTACAGTTGTACAGCTAATAACATCTATTTTTTTTTCCTTCAGCATCCATGGGCATCTAAAAAAAAAAAGCTTTTCATATCAAAAGTATTTTAAGAGGATTAACGCACATCTTTAGCAAGAAGTGAAGGTTAGCAGCACCTAAACTTTTTCCTGAGCAGTGCAGAAATTTTTATTTTCTTATTTTCAGTAGGATGGAAAATTATTCTACAACTCTAAACCAATACAGTAGTTGATGAGTATTTTGTTATTTGAGACAGGGATGAGAGGCTTCAGTGATTAGAGACTTGTCCCTTATCGTTGAGAATTCCTTTATCTTTTAGCATGCTGTACTCTTTTCTAGTTCTAGGATTGAAGTTCATATCCTTTGCACAAAGATTTAAAAGAATGTAAGCAGCAGCTTAAAAAGATGATCTGCTTTCAGCTTCCTATTTTGATGATTGCTGTTCTTTCATATTCCTTTGGTTTTCATGCTCCTTTCTCTGTGTTGCACAATACTAATTTAGACCCTCTTATTCTTGCATCCAAAATTCAGGATTGATGGTAAACAGATAGGAGTCTAAGGCCATAGATACAAATACAAGGAGAATGCAACACCTTTTTCTGAACTAAAATTTTCAGCCAGTCTGGCAAGGATTTAATTGTCTCCCACCCACTAAATTATGCAATTGCCAGTCTCTTGAGTGTAGATGCTTTTGTGGGGAGAAAAATCTGACTCAGTTTAGACTGAATTGAAAGTTTCAGCAAATTATTCTTTAAAAGACAGATACTAAGTCTCCATGTGTAACTCTTGATTTTTGTCCTTGATGCTTAAATATTTGAAAAGCATTCTGGGGAAGATGCTAGCTTTTGGTGGCCATAATCTGGCCTTTTATTTTTTGACCAAGTCTGCCCGAGAATGTGTGAGAAAGTGAAATTCCTGACTGTTGTCATCTTCCATTGCTCCTTAACCAAAAAGTATATCCCATCTTGAATTCTTGTCTTCTGTTGTTAATCCCGCAATACAATCCCAGTAATCCTTTTCCTTAAGCAGTTTATATAAGTGTCCATCTTGGAAAATGAAAAATTAAATACAACTTTTAAATAGCGCAGATATAGAACTTTTGATACCAGAATTTGTTCTGTTACATGCAGGCTGAAAGAGAAAGGGCAGTAACTGATGAATTTGCCATCATCTGATCTCTCATATGGTCTGGATCAATCCAGAAGATTTCTTTATAGCCCTAGGGTTCACCCATTTACAGAGGTGGAAAGAAGATTTATTGTATGCTTTGAAAATACAATAAAAATTCCCACTTGCATTTTCTTAACTGCGCTGAGATATTTGTACTTGAGTTCTTTGGCATATAGCAGGTGAGTACAAGAATTTCTAAACAAAATATAATGACAGCAGAAGTTGTGGTAGAATATGTAGGTGAGAGAAGGTGTAGGGGGTAGAGGCTGAGGGAAGAAGAGACCTGAGGAAAGTGAGTCATCCCAGAGACCATTTCCAGACCAATGCCTTTGCTGTTGAACATTAACTTGTCTCAAATGCTGCAAAAAAACAGAGAGAAACAGTCTAGTGACAACAAGAACAAATGTCTTTAAGGTAGTGCTAAGGTAGCAGAATGAGTTGTCTGGCTCCAAAAAAGCTCTTATAATGAGACTAATACTTTAGTCTCAAGTTAGTGATCATTCTTATTCCATATTATTTGCTGCTTTTTCTTAAGACAGTTCATCAGGATAACACTTTCAGGTCCTGTGGTTTATTTCCAATCTGCTTCAAACAGCCACTCTCTCCTTTTGTGAGAATCAGAGCTTTTAATGGAAGCAAAATACACCTTCTGTAACTCCTACATTAAATCTACTATGTAAAGTGTTTTTCTGGCTGTGTAGCTTAGGGGAATTACGAGAAGGCTAGAGAGGGATTTTTCACAAGAGCAGTAAGACAAGAGAAAATGGCCTCAAGATAAATGAGAGTAAGTTTGTATTAGATACTAGGAAGAATTCCTTTACTGTAGGGGAGGTGAGAACAACCTGGAACAACCTGGCTAGAGAAGTCATGGACTTCCCATCCTTGGAAATATTCAAGGCCAGGTCAGATGGGGCTTGGAGCAACCTGGTCTGGTGGAAGGTGTCATATTCATGGCAGGCGGATCAGACTATATCTTTAAGGTCTCTTCCAAGCGAGCCTATATGATTGTATATAAACTGTTTCTCCTGTGTGTGCATATTGTTTGTACAATGCAGGGTCTGTAAGGATTTTTATTAAAGGTTTTCTGTGTTTCTTTTTTCCCTCCAGAGCCCATCTTAGTTGGCAAAGCCACATTGCTCAATGCTTGGAAACTTTTTTTAAAGGAGGATGGGCTGAAGGATATTGCATAATGCTGCAAGCTTGCAGCTCTGTGGTTGGATACAGGTTCCATTTCTGGTCTGCTATGGTGCTGCCTAACACATACCTAGAGAATATATTCAGTAAGTATCACTGCCTGTAGAAATAAAATGGAAACTTCTTTTAAAACAAATATGATCTCAACACAAAAAAAAAATTACAAAGGCTAAAGAAATTAAGATAACTTTGCTATTCACTATAAATTCTGTTGATCTATGAAGAACTGTCTGTAGCTTCATGGTCTGTTTTAGTGCAATGTGGGTGGGCCTTGGAGAGGAGGGCTGTGGGTTCTTTTCTAATTAAAAACTTCTGACAAAAACCTGAAGTTTTCAGGTTTAGTTCCTACCAAAAAACATGGCACTGTTACTGGCTGACTTTTCAGCATTACTGACCTTCTCCCTTTCTTTCCTTTTCTTCCCTCTTCCAATTCTCTCCTATGGCCAAATTGTCCAAAAGCAGTGTGAGATTTAATACAGCAATACTGTACCTTCAGCAAAATGTCATTTCTGTATATGCAGAATTTGAATCATCTGGTCATCAGATTTGAAGTATTTTGTGAATTGTGTGACTAAGGTTCCCCATTGTGAAAAGCTCTGAAAGTAGTTTTTCTATTTAAGGTCACAATAAATTTCTAAGAACAGTTTGCTACCCAGGTAATCTCTTCTGTCGTATCTATTAACTGAAAGTGGTTTCTATACCTTCCTTCATGTGATGTTTGGTTGGGTGACATGCTCTTTTCCTTTTGTATATATGTTCTCATTGTGACTGAACAGCTTAAAACTCTGTCTTGCTGAGGCTTTAATTATACAGGGTTTATACTGTTGCTCTTTGTGTTTCAACAAGTTTATCCTCTTTCCCAGAGCCTTCATTGGTCTATCAGATACTAAACTGGTTGAAGATTTTTAATAGCAGACCTCTCCCAGTCAACTCCATTATTGTTGAGTGTGTTTGTTTCAACAATAAACAACTGTGCATTATGCTCTTTGAGCATTAGATCTTTCAATGTTAATTCAACCACAGAGACACAAAGGTTGATAAACAACACCACACTTCTTGATGCTGAGACTTGTTATGATATAAATGGTTTTTTCTCTTTTTCTACTCTGGTTTGGCACTGCTGGTTACAGCCTGCCTGACACAAGATGGCCTGAGTTAATTTCTCCTTCAAAGTATGCTATATGTCATTGTAAGATTTCCAAAGAACTTATTTGAACATTTTATGGAGCTCTTTTTTCATCAGTCAGTGCAGAACTATGCTACTTGTATGAACAGCTTTTCTTTGAGGAAGTTGTTCAATCACTGTGTATGTCTAGCATTTACACAAACTGCTTATTCTGCAGGGCTTAGATTCTGCTAATTTTATGTTAGAGGGAGATTACATTTTTCATTTAGGTGTTTGGTTTTTTTTTAATGCATGTGATTTTAATCAAGGCCCTTCAGAAATATTTTAAGGTCATTGTTGCCACTCATCAACAGGAAAATAGATAAGGAAGAGGTTACTTTTGAAGGGCCTGACCATAAGATGTTAGCAGCAGCATCCTGTCTTGCCTGGGATATCTTGCTCACTTACTGTCTCATGAAATCTAACAGGAAAATTGCTGATAACTTTGCAGATCAATTGCCTAGAAACATTGGGCTTGATTAAGAAGCTGAATGTAACTTTGGGAATCCTGCTGACTAATCTTGATTCTGGCCCTTTCAAAGACTGGGATCCAGTCTAAACAACCACACTCTAAACTGACATACACATAACTTCTTACTCTCCAAATGATGGAGCGGTACCTTGAGTGAAAATTTAAAACACCCTTTGGTGTACATCTGGTTCTGTATCAAATAGATAAGAAATTTAAAAATCTGTAATTGTAATTAGACAGTGGATTCATGTAGCACATAGCAAGAAAAAAATTCTCAGCCTTGTTTAGGCCTAAATGGCCATTCATTATTTAGTTCTCACAGGCTTACATTATTTAAATGTCAAGTTTTTCTGCTGTATGGGAAGTTCATAAGCCAGTGGTACCCTTGTGGCCAAGCAGGTCCATGGTATCCTGGGTTACATGGGAAGGAGCATTGCCAGCAGGTCCAGAGAGGTGATCCCACCTCTCTGTTCAGCCCTGGCAAGGCCTCATCTGGAATGCTGTGTCCAGTTCTGGACTCCTCAGTACAAGAGAGACATGGAGCTCTTGGAGTGGGTCCAGTGCAGGGCAACAAAGATGATTAAAGGACTGGAGCATCTCTCTTACAAGGAAAGGCTTAGAGACTTGAGCATTTTCAGCCTTGAGAAGAGAAAACTGAGAGGGGACCCCATCACTGTCTGTAAGTATGTGAAGGGAGGGTGTTGAGGGGATGGAGCAAGGCTCTGCTTAGTGATGCCAAGCAATAGAACATGAGGCAGAAACTGATGTACAGAAGTTCCACCTGAACATAAGGAAAAATTTCTTTACAGTATGAGTGATAGTGCACGGGAACAGATTGCCCAGAGAGAGTTCATGCAGTTTCCCTCAATTGAGATATTCAAGAACCATCTGGATGAAATCCTGTGCCATGTGCAGATAACTCTGCATGAGCAGGGAGTTTGGTCCAGGGTTCTCCAGTGCTCCCTTCTAATCTTTCTCATTCCATGGTTCTGTGATTGTAAGACAAACTTGATTTCTTGCAGATATTATTTGAAGATAAATAGGGCTTTCAGCTTTGCAATTTGACTAAAAAAGGAAATAAAAAGACCAGGTGGCCACAGAAATCCCAATCTTAAGTTATTACAATTTATAACAATGCAGAAAGGCCATCACCCAGGGTGTATTTCACCTCTGATTGCCAGAAAATAACAGAATTACAGCTAATTTAATATTGCAAGATCAAAGAGCAGAGCTTGTGCTGGTTTAGTAACAGAGCAAAAGCACTCTCTTTTTTAATGCCAATGAGTGCATAATTTTATGAATCTAAAATCCAACTCATTTTGCTAGCTTTGTATTCCCAAGGTCTAAATATACAGTAATTTAAGGTACTTTCTAGTTGAGATAAAAATAGCTACTTTAAACTTGATGAACAGCATGTAAAAGTTTAATTGCTTACACAACAACTCAGAGTAAGGTTGAAGTATTTACTATGAAATGTTTGGTTACTAGATTCCCTTTTCTTTCCCACTGCAGTGTTGATGCAAATCTGAGATTGCCTGGTGACAAAATACAGTTGGTCCATGGAGAAAGAAGCCATGGCAAAAGAATCCCCAACTACCTGAGCAGCTTCAGAATAGTTTGGTTTATTTTTTCTGGTCACGGAACCACAGAATGGTTGGGGTTGGAGGGCCTCTGGAGATCATCTGGTTCAACTTCCCTGCTAAAGCAGGTTCACAGGAACATGTTCAGGCAGGATGGCCAGGAATTCGCATGACACAAATATAGAATTTATCTTCATAGATAATATAATTTGACAAGTTGCCGTATTTCCCATCTAATGTTTCTAGACTCATTTTAAGACTCATCTAACCCATAAATACAGGAAAGCTGATGGTGAGAGAAGGATAATGCAAAGATAATTATGTCATCAGTGGGATTTAGGTTTTTTTCCTATACCCATCAAAGATATTCTCATTAATTTTTTGCTTTTTTGACAAGCTGTTATTAAGTTCTATGCAGCTTCAATAGAAAGGCTAAATACCCCTGTGGGTGAGTTTGGAGAGTCTGGTAGAGAAGAAAGCATGAATCTTGTTGCCAAGTTCTTTCTCTTTTTATCTTAGCAGATATTTTAGGATCTGAATGGAAAAGATGTATGTTTTTCTACTTGGAGCTGAAAAAATCACAACATCACTTTTTATTTACTTAGTTATTATTTTTAAAATGCATGAAGGAAGCACTGTTACTGCTCCTTTCTGAACTTTTCCTTTGTGCCTCTCTGCCTCTTTCCTCCTAACTATGGTCTTCAGTCAGCACAACCCTCAAAATAATGACACAGCATGAAACAATCATAAACAATGGGTATCAGCAGTATACTTGGATGGCACTCCAAGATCGGACAACACTAGGATACTCCTTCATAAACCAATATACATTAAGTCCTTGTGGTTTAAAAACTTCTAAAAACTGGGCCAGGGTGTTGTGGCATGAAAGCTTCTACCAGAGGTTATGTTGCACCATACACACTTATGTAGGAATACTATCCCTGGTACACATCTAAGTGGGAGGGAGAAGTGCAGAAAGGCAGAGAAGGGTTATCTTATCAAAGCTCCCAGTGGGTTTGTGGCAAAGCCTAATTTGGTCTCCCATGCTAAAACCCACAGATAGCAGCCCTTTTGCTCTGGAGAACTGCTTTTCTGATTAGCAGTAACTGTCAGCAGGCTTTATCACCTACTGTGCCCTTGTTATGAGATGTAAAGGGCATGCTATGATATATGTCACATCCAAGGCCTATCCTCTAGTCAAATTGTATAGAAACAATATTTAAAGTTCAAATTCAGGTATCCAAAGCTTTTGCAGAAATCTCATTTACACTTTCATCTTGACTACATTTGCTAGGAGTTGAGACAGTGACATAGGTAACCTGAGAGTACAGACAGAAATACAAACAACTTGAGTGATAGTATGTCCTTTAAAAAAAATCAAACAAGATACTACTTTATTTCTGCACAGTATTTACTGAAGCATTTTCAATAGAAACTGAAGAGGGTCAGCCAATCTTTTCAGTTATTTTTGAATATTTTGAATTATTTTCAGCAGTTGGTGTGTCTTATTCTGGGAGCAAAGTGGGTAACCAGAAACCAGTTATTAGTTTGATTAATTTTAAATAGGCAAGAGAGATAGAATTCAGGTAGAAGGAATCTTCCATCTAGCTGTAGTTAGTCTTTTCATTGCCATTTGGAAAGAAGCACTTGATAGAAAGTTGTTCAAGAATGCAACTGCACAATGAATAGCTGAGTGATCTGTTACAAGAATGATACATATTTATTCACTCTGGCTGAAGATGTTTGCTGTATTTTTGAAAATGTGTTTGCTGAAAGAGCTATTAGTATAAAATATTTTGCCTTCATGTGTCAAGATAGTGTAGTCTATGCCAAAAATGCTTAGAAAAAAAATTAAAGAGATTTAGATGACATTGTGATATACATTGTCTGCAAAGGAGACAACAAATACAGATGGCTGAGTAGATGTTTAATCCAGCTTGCCTTTCTCATTTTCAATTATCTTCATTTAGACACTTGAAAGCTAAAAATGCACAGGAAACTTCCAAGCATCACTGGATGAATTGTATTACTTTGACCATCACAACCCTTTTCACAAAGAAGAACAATTGAAACAAATACTGATACATACACCTTCTGGTTAATTTAATATTAGGGATGAAGGAAACGCTGTAATTACAAAATAGGCTTCCTTTAGGTTTGACCATGAAAAGATTAAAATTTTTATCCTATCCAGAACAGAAAATATAGGTAGATATTAGTGTGTGTTTTCATTAGAGAAATTTTTTACGTGAAACAAGCAAGATTTGCCAAAGATTTTAAGGATGATCATCTTGGGACACTAGTCTGTATTACTCTCCTAAATCTTTAATTACCTTTCTGTACCAGTTAGCTAGGGTTTGGGCAGGTGACCTCAGGGCAGAAGTGATCTGTGATGACTCTCACTGGTGGATTCAAACCTGAAGTAGTGGAAGAGATTGTTTGGGAATGCTGTGAATTCTACATCACTGTCAGCATGAAGAGCAAGTTAGACAAGTATGTCATGAATCATAGAATTGACCTTATTCTAGAGTGAAAAACAGAACAAATGCCCTCTCAACATCTTTTAATACTTATTACTATGCATTGAATTTAAAGTAGCCTTTGTATGTAGTTTAATTATTTGGTTCTGAAGTATGTCTTAAACAGCAATTAATTGTGTGTTTGAGACATGATAGACAGGAATATAACTAGGAGGTCAGTTCTAGTCTAGGTCCTGTACTTTTTTCAGCTGATACACATTCTTTAAATTACTTTCTTTAAAGAATATTTATATTGTAATTTTTATTTTGTTCTTTTTATAAAGATGATGTGTTTCTTCAGGTTTTGTGCCAAAAATATTTTTCTGTTTGCTGCATGAGGTGTTTATAATTATAAAAAGTTGCTTCCACTACTTTTTGTGAAAAGAATAGTAGAAATTGCAGTGATTAGTAGGTCTGCTACACAGTGGACAGCCAAGGAAGTGAAAAATTGTAATTTCCAAACTACTTTAATATATTGTGCTGAATTAGCATTCCAAAGTCATTAATGAACAGCCATAGCACATGAGCAAAACTTCTTCAGGAATCTCATTAGAGTTATCAAATGCGACAAATTCTACTTTTGTGTTCAGCTTCCCCAGTTCCTAGCCTTGGCACTCCTCTCTTGTGGTAACTGGGCAACTGCATTTGTAGATGAAGTTCTTGCCACTTTCTAAAATGCAGGCTCAGGGACATGAATGACGACTCTGAGCACTAGGGCTATTACTACTCTTCTACAGCAGAAAACTCTTCAGGCAGCACTATCGGTCCTGCCTAAACCCGAGGTTCCGGGACTAATCTGAGCGGAGTCTAAGGCCTGCAGTGCGAAAGCTTTACTTTATTTCAAGCAGTAAGGGCTGGCCGTGTACGGCTGCATCAGCTTAGTGCATCGTCGGACTGATGCGCCAGCTTGGTGCCGGGGCGGGCGGCTCCGTGCGGGGAGGCAGCTGCGACGCCCTCCCCTCGGGGACACAGCGATTGCTCGGCCCGGGCCCGAGGTGCTGCTCGGTCCCGTTTGCCGGCAGCTGGAGGGAGGCGGCACAGCTGCCTCGTACAAACAGGTGTGTCCATCCAGCCGCCCTTCCCGGGAATTATAAACAATCCTACCGTCTGTTTCTCCCTCTGCCCCCGGGCTGTGGACAGCAGCAGCCCTTATCAGCCTTGCCGAGGCGGTGTCCCGGGGAAGGAAAGGGGTTGTGCCAGGGAAGAGAGGAAAAAGAAAAAAANAAAAGGGGAAAAAAAAAAAAAAAAGAGAGAGAAGAAAAGAGAGGGTTTTGCGGACAGTGGGGCGGGGGAGGAAAGGGGCCTCGCTGAGGGTGAAAGTCCCGCGGGGACCGAGGGTGGCGATAAGGGCGTCCCGCCCGCCGGGAGGCAGCGCCAGCCGCGGTCTGCCCGGCCCTCGGGCTCTGCCCTGCCCTCGGCTCCCCTCCCGCCCTCCGCCCTCAGGACGATGCAGAGGCACCGGCGCCGTCCAGCACCGAGGGGCGCGGCGGGGACATGAGCTCGGGGGGCGGCCAGGCCCCGGGGCCGCTCCTGCTGCTGCTGCTGCTGCTGGCGCTGCCGCGGTGCGCGGCGCGGGGTGAGTGCGGCCGGGCGCGGGACTGAGCTGGAGCGGGGCACGGCGCTGCCGCGGCGCCAGGTGCGCGGCTCGGCGGTGCCCTTCCTTGGCCGTGCTGCCGGAGCGTTCCTTGGTGGTGGTGTTGTGGACAGCCCGTGCTGTTCATGTCCAGGAATCCCATGGTGATGGAGGCGGAGCAGCACGTGGTGAGAGTGCTGGAGGCAGCTCACGGTGGTGGCGGAGCATCCCGTAGTGGGGGTGATGGTACCCGTGGCATTGGTGGCAGAGGTGGCCGTGGTGGCTGCTGTCCTGTGTGCTGGCTGGGGTGTCACCTGCTGACGGCTGAGGTGGCAGCGACCTCGTGTCCTGCCGGGTGAGGGGGCTTTGCCTCGGCGGGAGCCGCGCCTGAGGGAGCACATGAGCAGGACCAAAACAGTGAGGGGACTGTAGTGGTGGCATGATAAACTGTGTGTTGTGAAGGACAAATAAGTAATAAAATTTCAGCTGCAGTAGTAAGGGGAGGCAGGGGGTGGAGACACGTTTTTATATCTCCTGAAGCAGCAATCTGAGGAGGATACTCCCGTGTCTTATCGCAAGATTGAGGTATCATGAAAAAGTTCATTCTGTGGCTGTTTGTAAATTTAATTTTCTGTTCTATGTTGGCTGCCATTGCGTGCTGACAGTTTTTGTTTTCTGCTCTTATCAGAAACACACACACACACTCACGTATATAAAAGCATGGATAATTAGGAGTAGGAATCTAGGATGCTTCTCACAGCCTTAGGGCACTCGTAAAAACCCTAAAAAAACTGAAAACCTGTGCATGTGGAAAGGCAGTTTTATCACAGTGATCATTTTTTTGCATAAAGAATTACTAGAGTGTTCTGCCTTTTTCCAGTTCTGGTTATATATTTAGACATTGTAGAGTCGTCATAATTTTGTCAGAGATGCTAAATATAAAGTCATGTAAGTATTCTTATCAATTTCAGCTATCTTAGAAAAGTAAAAATTCCTATACTTCTGTGTCAAGCACCATCAGACATCAGCTTATGCTGTATTAGTTCTTTATTTTAAAATGTAAAAAGACATCAGCATACACATGCTTTGTCTAGATTAAATCCATCCTTTCTGATATTTGAAAAGTGAGGGTATGTGTGATAACAAAAAGAGCTTATAAAAAAATGAAAGAAAATGAACATAATGCCCTGAAAGTATGAATGCAAAGAAAAAAAATTATTTTATTCTCATTTCATATATTTACTGCCCTTTCAAATTATAGCACATTAGGTTATGTGCTTCTCAATCACTTTTAATATAAATTTATTTCTAAAATTACTTTACTGTAGGTAATTTTACTCCAGGCAACATTAGCAACATTTTTATGAATAACATTTTTACCATATTGACACATGATACAAACAGATTGCTAACTATCCCATATGTCTATGTGTAAATAATATAAAAAAGCACAATAAAACAGAGGAAACAGAAATAAAGACAAAAGAGAAACAAATACATATGGAGAAAAATTAATAATATTGGATAGAGCTACTTACTATATACCTTCTAAACCTTTCTGAAACCTTAAAAACTATTTTTTTTTTTTTTTTGTCAGAGAAGAGAAGGATGGACAAAAATGCTCAGTCAAGTTATTAGTTAATATTTTCTGTTTATTTTTAACCTTTAGTCTTTTAATACAATAGCTGTGGTTTTCCTACAAATTTCAAAATGAGGTGGGAGGAGGTAGTAGTCTATTCTATGTGTTTTAATCTGGATTTTATCTCTACTTTCAATTCTGTGCTTGTTATCCTACCATGCCACTTGCAAAGTATTTTTAAAAAGGTAATTGTGTTTTTTTGTCCTTAAAGTAATTGTGAACAGATCCATTCCAGATGTCTGTGCAACTTGCCACATTCATGCAACATGCCAGCAAAGTGGAGGAAAAAGTGTGTGTATCTGCAATTATGGATTTGTAGGCAATGGAAGAACCCATTGTCAAGGTAAGCTGCCTGCTTATAAAATGGAAAGAAACTCTGTAAATTCCTAAAATCTCCTTCTCAAGTAATTTTAATGAATTCTTTGAAGTGTGCTAAAAGCTTTATCATTTCCTGGAAGAATCTCCCATAGAATATATTTGGATTTTTTCCTCACCAAAAGACTTGTACATATTCAAAAGTGCTGTTTGATGTTTTGTTACTGTGGCTGATAATGTCCTTCTAAGACTATCTCAAATCAAAATGTGAATCAAAGGACAATGTCAAATGCTCTGTCTCAGTGTCTGTAATAGCTTACCATTGCTTAAAGGGGGTGGTCCTTCACCAATGATCTCTTCCTCCCTGTCTGTTACCCTTCTTTAACAAAGCACTGGCAGCTGCTGGATCCTGCAGAGTCCAGGTATCTTGTTGTAGAAAATCATAGAACTATAGGATGTTTCAAGTTAGAAGGGATCTTAAAAAATGTACAGTTCCAGCCCCTTTGCTGTGACCAGGGACAGCTTCTGCAAGACCAAGTTGCTCAGAGCTCCATCCAAGCTGGCCTTGAACGCTTTCAGTGATGGGGCACTGGGGCATCCACAACTTCTCTGGGCAACCTGTTCCAGTGCCTCACTACCCTTACAATGATGAGTTTCTTCATAGTGCCAAACCTAAATCCATCCTCTTTCAGTTTAAAGCAATTCCTTCTTGTCCTAGAAGTACAGGGTGTTGTCCAAAGTGCCTCTCCAGGTTTCTTGAAAGTACTCTTTAAGTACTGGAAGGCCATAAGAGCTCCTTGACCCTCGACTGAGCAACCCCCAACCCCTTCAGCCTTTTCTTGTGGGAGAGGTGCTCCAGCCCACAATTATCTTCATGGCCTCCATTGGACTTGCCCCACTTGGTCAATAGCCTTCTTATGTTGGGCGCCTCAGAGCTGGATGCAGGGTTCCAGCTGAGCTCTCACCAGAGAAGAGCAGAGGGGCAGAATCCCCTCCCTCCCCTGCTGCCCACACTGCTTTGGATGCAGCCCAGCACATGTTTGGCTTTCTGGTCTGGGAGTGATAATGGCTGGGTCATGTCCAGCCTCCCATCCACCAAGACCCCCAAATCCTCCTCAGCAGGGCTGCTCTTGGTCCATTTTCTACCCAGACTGTAGCTGGGCTTGGGATTGCCCCCACACAGGTGTTCCATGAGGTGCTATAATGAGTGTATGCCATAAAGAAGAGTGGAAGGAGAGAGCAGGGCCTCTTGTTTCAGCAGCTATTAGAATTTTAGATAACTTAAACTGTGTCACAAAACTCTATTCACATTTTCATCCAGGGACAAAAATTTCTGGTTTTCTCCAGCTTATCAGCAGTGTTTATAAAGGAAATCAGTAAGGAGAAGTCTGGTTATTTGACCATGAGTGAGAAGGGGAGGACGCCCCACTTTTCTTAATCTCTCTCTGATGTTTTTTAAATGTACTGACAGATAAAGATGAATGTCAAATTGGAGCCAGCAAGATCTGTGGAAATCATACACTGTGTCATAATACACATGGAAGTTTTTACTGCGTTTGCCTTGATGGATACCGAGCCTCCAATAACAACAAGACATTTATTCCCAATGATGGCACAAACTGTACAGGTAGACATCACAAAGAATTCTAAGCGTGACAAATACAGAACTGCACATTTTTTTCCCCCCATCACTGTGGAACTGATTTTCTGACACTATTTCAGAGAATTTCTGTTGTTGATGTGCTTGTTTGACATCCAGTTTCCTAACAGCTATGAATTAGTTCCATTTTTAACTCTGCTCTGTTATAAATCATTGCTTCACAATCTCATTCAAACAAGGATCTTTTCAGAAGAAGCAGCAGCAGGGAGATTAACAAAATAGGATGAAACTTAAAATTTCCAAGATGGTAATTGTGTTTAGTGTAGAATATTAGCCAGTTTCTTGTTAGTGATGAACTGTTGTAACCATTTAAGAGATATCCAGATACAGGATTTTTCTGGAATTATTTGAATAGCATGTAACATTGAAAACTATTTGTCAGGTAAACCAGCAGTAATTTAAAGATACCTAGTGGCAAAATTGCAACAGCCATTGTTCCAGATGCTTGAAGATTGGACAATCATAAGCTCCTTTATTTTCCTAGAAGAGCTGTGAGAAGATATGTAGAACTCTTCAAAGAAGAGTTAAGCTTGGGCCATTTATTAATTTATTAAAACAAAAACGCCTATTGTGAAGGGCATCTATTTTTCTCTGAATTTTTAGATATTGATGAATGTGAGGAGTCTGGGTTGTGTGGTCACAATGCAAGATGTGTGAATACTGAAGGAAGCTACATGTGTTACTGCAATGATGGTTATAAATTAGAAACTGGAGAACGTTCTTTTCGTCAAGATGGAAACATAGTTTCATGCAAAGGTGAGAGTCTTTGGATGCTGTTTTTGCTAGCAGATAAAATTGCATATTGCACCATAGTGTAGCGCTTGTTCTGGCCTGTGCTTCTCCAGGGCAGAAACCCTTTCTCTGGATTTTGCTTGCTGTATGGGTTGGGTTTTTTTTTTTTGTTTGTTTGTTTGGTTTTTTTTGTTGTTGTTGTTTTTGTTTTGTTTTTTTTTTCTTTTTTTTTTCTCTTTTTGTATTCAGTTTGTGATGTCAGGATCCCAGAGTCAACACCAGATATTCCTACAGGTTCTCAGCAGTGCTTCAGATGTGGAGGGTCAGAGAAGCTTGATAATATTATGAAAGTAATGTAGTTAGTTTCTGAGTAGAAAGGAAGTGTGTTGAAATCCAGTTGTTTATATAATCACACCACATAAAGGGGAAGAGAAGAGAGGCTAAATAGCTGATAAAAGAGGTTAGATTAATGAAAAAAGCCTACAGGACAGGAATAATAAAATAACAATTTAGCTATTTATTACATACTTTGCCTCCTGCATAAATAAACAGTTTAGTTTATATTGCCATAAAAGAAAAAAAAAAAAAAACAAGTTTCCAATTTGAAAATCTATGTTTAGTGTCAGTTTTCACAGGAGCAAACTGCTAGCAGTGTAAGCTGTGGATATCAGAGTATATAATGAACACAGGCATCCCAGGTGGAAGGAGCTGCCTAGATTATATTCAGCTTTTATTTCTGAATTACTGCCAGAACCATTAGTACAGCTCACAGCCTGTAATTGTTCAGTTTGTCTGACTGGAGTGATCCGCTTTGTTTGCCAGAATTGCTGATAACCCTGCTTCTTATCTCACTGACTCTCCTCTCCATATTCTGTGGTGAAGTAGAGTGTCTGTACTGATTGTGTTTCTTGCAGAGTTGCACAAAGGAGCCCTGTCCAAGCAGATGTGCTGGAGGAATGGAGCTTTTGTATGCAGGCTATTTCAATGAGATTAAGGCTTTGAGGGGCAGAACATTTCATTCCAATTTATCTGTTGCAAAGTGCTTCATTTTCCCATGCATAGGGAAATAAAGCTGTGCGTTGGGGCCTGAAATTTTCCTGTGATGTTGAAGTATCATTCAGCCATTGCTGTAATGAGACTGGCCCATGCAAAGCACCATCACATTGCAGTGTCTCATCTTTGGTGTTGTGAATGGCTCCAGCTGGATGTTAGTAAAGGTGTAGCTCAGTAACTTCTTCCCTGTGTTCCTCCAGCTGTGGCCCAGACAATTCTTCAAATCTATTATTCTACCTCTTTGATAAGCCCTTGGATTCATTAAGTCACGTGTATTTTGTGGTGTGACCATCCAATTCAGCTGATTTTAAAGCAATCAAATTTTGTGATTTATGTACTGTGAGATCTTTCAACCCAGTCTCTTTGCAGAAATCAGATGTGGTTCCCCTCCTGAAATGAAGCATGGCTACATTGTGGGGAACTCCAGCTTGCTACCAGGAAGTGCAGTTCATTATGAGTGTCAAGAAGGGTTTTACAGCAATGAAGGAAAGTTCTCATACTGCACTTCAAATGAAACTTGGGAACCTGCCACTTTAAGCTGTAAAGGTGAAAAGAGTCTTACATCTTTCTTAAATTCTTCATTAAGGGCGTTAATGCAAGGGAATTGTGAAAGATAGAAGACTTTCCACAACCTGGAAGTGTTTTTTCAAGATCTGATTATTTGCAGGAAAAGAAGAAAATTAAAGGACATATTATTGTTTACCTTTTTCTTCAGTATAGTGACATTTTTTATCCTGCTCCCTGCATTTTTACAGACACTGAAGTGTGTCCTTCTGCCTGTGACTTAGAAAACATGATTTCTTTAGCATTTTACAGGAAAGGCTACTGAGTTAGAATCACTGACCTCTCATGAAAACATTAATTTTCCTGACACCTTGTGAAGTTTTGTGTGAAGGTTTGCAGGCATCATAGTACTCCTCATCTCTGGGTAGTCTTCATTATTTTAAGAACATTTGTGCATGAATGTCCTGGTTTGGGGCAAATTTGGGAGAGAACCCCCAAAGGTGTTCCTCTAGAAAGCAGATTCAATCGGCCCTTCCCCCAGCCAGTTTGGGAAAAATACCTCCTTGGAGAAAAGTGGACAAAACTGTTTATTAAACAAGAAAACCTAAACAATATTAAACAATAAAACCACTTGCCGCTCCAAAAGAGAGACAACCTCAGAAAGTCCCCTCTGTGGGCTGTAGCTCAGCTCGCTCAGTCTTTTCTCAGTCCCTCTGGCACTGGAAAATGCCACGGCCCAGGCACGGCCCGATGGGCCTCAGGTGCCAGCTGCCGGTGCTCCTCTGGGTTCAGTTCAGACAGGTTTAAACAGGTCTAAAGAAAAGGAAAAATACACAGTCCAAAAACTTCTTTGCCTCAGCTAGCTAAAACTAACTAAAAGGAAAGGAGATCTCTGTCCTGCTGTCTGTCCATCTGGAGACAACACAGTCCAGGAGCAGGAATGTGGAGGAGTGAGTGCCGCTTCTGAAAACAAACTGTGCTTCTCTCCCTCCTTTGCTCTTGGAACAAGTCTTAAAGGTGCAAAACTTATTATTCAGCATAAACAGAACAGACAGCTGGGGATACAAGCATCATATAGGACAATGAACAAACACTTCCACATCTCTGAAGAGTTAAGTTTCCTATGACTTTCTTTAAAAGATGTACTTGCTTTGGTGTTCTAATCATCCATTCTCTGGCAATATTACTGCTTATGAGTGCAGAACTCTTTTTGTATTCCTGTGAGTAGTCAGAAAGCCTTTGTACTAGTTACATGATACTTGCAGTGCTAGCTAACAGAAGATACACTGTGTATAGCAATTCTGTAGAGGAGAATTGTCATCCTGGAAATTAGTGAGGAGACTTCATTCTTTCTCTGAAACAGTTGTCTTTTTTTTCCCAAATCTTTCCCTTTCTCTCTCTTTTTCTTTTCTTCGAGAATGGATAGAAATGTAACATTTGTGGGAAGTGAATAAATTAAAATAAGAGTGCTAAAATAATGTGGCTGGGAAAAGCAAAATATTAACTATCACTAGAAATACATAAGAAAGAAAAGAGAAAACAATTTTAAAACAATACAAGTAACACTTTCCCCCACCCAAAAAATAAATATAGGACAATGAATTTGAAAACAAAAAGGGAGTGCCCACAGTCTCAAGTGGTCCCTAGAGAAAGATTGTGGAATGCAACTCTTGCAAGTTGTTAATATATTTTTTGGTGTATTTATTTGTTGATATATTTTTGATATATTTAATGTTTTTCAGAAGTTGCTTTTTCATGTGATTTTTTAAATTTTTACAATCAAACAGTAGGTCAGGTCAGACTTTCTCAGCATATCTCCTATGGTTAATTGAAATAAAATACATAATTCACCAAGAAACAGCCAAAAGTCTGAAACGTCAAACTTATTTCCTCCTTGTATTGCAAGCCCTTTTCCTGTTTTCAGTTAGGACTTCTCTTTCTAAAACCAGCAAGTCTATTTTTTTTTTAATACTAGTGAATGTACCTTTAATAAATATGTGTATGTGTACTACTTGACTTCTTTGTTTGAGCATTATGTAGACTCTTGCCTTAACAGGAAACTTTAATATTGTATGTTGTAACCTTTTCTATGGTTTTGCATTTTTACACTTATTGTACACTTTTTAAAGTTTTGCTTTCTAAAGGCAGTTTTGCTCATTGGCCTTCCTTTGAGTGTTGCTCATTGTGAATGGTATAGAACCACCTTATCTGATGTAATCTGGTTTGTAAAAGCAGGAGAGTCTAAAGATTCAGAAGAAAATCAGGACTTTTCTGTATACTATCAGCTAGACTGAGGAGGGAGTCAAAGATTTAGCATGCTATTCCAAGAGAAAGACAGAAAAGTGTCCTTTTATTTGGAAGCAGATGTTTGGAGTAGCTACAGCACTGTCAGTCATAGTGGGAATATGGCAGAGGACCTGAGGAAGTGTTGTATTACTACAGGAGAAGAGGGTTAGCTGGTAAAGGTGAACAAATACTTATGTTAGTGCAGTTGTCATTGCTCCTGCTGGATGACTAACAGATCTATCTTCCTTCATTTCCTCAGGTGTGGACTGTGGGGCTCCACCTTCCGTTCTGAATGCACGTCCAATATCTGCGAGTGGGACCACATACAGAAGTGAAGTTACTTATGATTGTGTTCATGGTTACCTGATGGCAGGTGGCAGTGGCACTGCAGTCTGCAATGCCAAAGGACAGTGGGATGGCCCTGATTTGGTGTGCAAAGGTAAAGCCTGCCTTCTGATTTGTTTTGCATAGATACAATTTAATTCACTGTAATAGATATCAGTCATCCTCTAGGCATTCAGTTTATTTAGTCTTCGGGCATAGAAAGTTGTCACAAAACAAAAACCATATATTGAATAGGGTGTTTTTTTAAGTCTGTGTTGCTAATGAAGTTGCAATAAATTGTTAAAAGTTAACATTCCAAGAAGGTAATCCCAATGCATATCAGGCATTGGGACTACCATGAGATGCAAATACAGCCTAAATTGCTGACATTTTTTTTCCAGTTCAATATCCAATCTACTTTTCTGATAGCAGTTGAAGCCACTATCAGGAATCAAACTGCTACTAGTTATTAGCATACCTTCAAAACTCCTGTATTTGGACAGTTTCCAGTTGCAAATTATGATTGCTCATACATGCTGTTGCTATGTCAAGTCTCTTATAATGCTATGATTTGGAAGAATGTAGCCTAAAGAATTAGTCAATAAGATGGAACACAAGCAGTACATTGTAAAAAAAACTCTTTCCTTTCTTTTCCTTTCCTTTCCTTTCCTTTCCTTTCCTTTCCTTTCCTTTCCTTTCCTTTCCTTTCCTTTCCTTTCCTTTCCTTTCCTTTCCTTTCCTTTCC